GCCTTTGTCTCTCCCCACATTCGGGCACCAAAGAGACTGTGGTGGGTTGACTTTGTCTGGATGCCAGGTATCCACCAAACTGCTCTATCACTCCCCTTCCCAGCCGTACAGGGGAGAGAGAATAAGATGGAAAATGACTCATAGGTTGAGATAAGGCAGTTTACTAAAGCAAAAGTGAAAGTTTGTACCCACAAAAGCAAAGAGGAAAATAACAAGGTTTATTCTCTACTTCCCTTTAGGCCACTTCCCAGGAAACAGGACTTTCAACACGTGTAGTGGTTTCTCAGCAGGCAGACATTGTAAACAATGAATGCCCCCCCTTCCTGCTCCTTTTCTTGACCTTTTATATCTGAACTGACATCATATGGTATGGAATATCCCTTTTGGTAGTTTGGGTCAGCTGGTCTGGTTGTGTCCCCTCCCAGGATCTTGCCCTTGACTGGGGGGAGGGATGTTACAGTGCTGGTGCAGTGCCAGCGCTGCTCAGCAGTTGCCAGAATACTGGTGTGTTATCAACACCTTTCTAGCTACCAATGCAAAGCACAGCACTGTGAGGGTTGCTATGGAAAATGAACTCCATCTCAGCCAGACCTGATATACATGTAAATGTTGAAGTCTAATTGTGAGAAAAGTATAGGTAAGAAAACTACATTTGAGGTAGAATATGAACTGAATGACTCAATAAATTAAAAAATTTTAGTAAGTCAGTGGAAATGTTTCAGTCAGAAATTGTGCCAATGAAAATTATAAGTAGAGTTTCATACTTGTGTCTTTGGAAGGTGCATCACTTAATCCCTCAGCAAATTTGAAGATGACACCAAGCTGAGTGGTGCAGCTGCTATGCTTGAGGGAAGAGATGGCATCCAGAGGGACCTTAACAGGCTTGAGGAGTGGGCAAATGTGAACCTCATGATGTTCAACAAGGCCAAGTGCAAGGTCTTGCATGTGGATCAGGGAAATCCCAAGCACAAATACAGGTTGGGTAGAGAATGGATTGAGAGCAGCCCTAAGGAGAAAGACTTAGGGATGTTGGCTGATGAGAAGCTCAACATGACCTGTCAATGGGCACTTGCAGCCCAGAAAACCAATCGTATCCTGGATTGCATTAAAAGAAATGTGACCAGCAGATTGAGGGAGGTGATTTTGCCCCTCTAATCCGCTCTTTTGAGACCCCACCTGAACTACCATGTTCATCTCTGAGGCCCCCAACACAAGAAGGACATGGACTTATTGGAACAAGTCCAGTGGAGGGCCACAAATCTGATCAGAGGGCTGGAGCCTTCCAGTATCTAAAGGGGGTCAACAAAAAAGCTGGAGAGGGACTTTTTACAAGGATATGGAGTGACAGGACAAGGGGTAATGACTTTAAAGTGGAAGTTAAAGAGGGTAGGTTTAGATTAGATACTAGGAAGAAATTCTTTACTGTGAGGGTGGTGAGGCACTGGAACAGGTTCCCCATAGACATGGTGCAGGCCCATCCCTGGAAGTGCTTAAGGCCAGGTTGGGTGGGGCTTTGAGCAACCTGGTCTAGTGGAAGGTGTCCCTGCCCATGGCAGGGGGTTGGAACAAAATCATCTTTTAGGTCCCTTCCAAACCAAACCATTCTGTGATTCTATGCTCCCCATGCTATGTGAATGAGTGTATATGCACTTCAGAGAGGCACCTCAGCATACTGATTTTCCAGAAAGGGTTTTGGAGATTTGTCCATAATGATGACTTTTAAGGACTGCCTTGCTTACATGCAGGATCTTTGGGCATGGCAACCTATAGTGATTTTTGGAAACTTTCAGTTAAAAGAAAACATCTAACTGGAAGAAACTTTTTATATTTTCTAGTCTTTTTTCTTGTTCTATATTGTTTCTGATATATTGAAAGGCCACTGATGTATATATTTGCTTTTGGTCCATCTGTATTTTTTCACATATAATCTTTTCCCCCCACAATCTAGGTTTGTAATCTTTTTGTATGGGTGTTATGTTGTATAAAGTATCTGTATTTAGCCTGTGGAGTTATCTTTATTCTTTTTATGAGAAGAAATGTTCATAATGAACCCATCAAGTAAATAATTAATTGGTGTAATGCCATAAGAAGAATGCGCAGCAGCTCTATTGTTGAATTCTGGAACATGTGCCTGCTTTCTTGGATGTTTTTGTTATTACTGTTTTAATGTAAAAGGGGAAAAAACAGCTTTGCTTCTGATGACAGACTTATGTGATTGATGCAAGTCAGATTAGCTAAATCTTCATTGTTCAGTGAAATTAATGTAGTTTGGCAGGATCTTGATTAGGAAGCAATAATTTCTTTTGAAAATAAAGAATTGATCACTTTCAGCAAATAGGAATTCTGTCCTTTGTCTTGTATGGTTTGATCTGCTGGTTCAAGTCCTAGTTAAATTCAAAAGTGAAGTGTGAGTGAAATGGAAGAGAGTATAGTAGCAGGAACAGATGTTTATGGTTGACTCCAAAGTCCTCATCCAATTGGATCTTTATTATCTTGGGTGGCATTTAAACAAACAAACAAAAAAAGAGATATTTTGTGTTCTAAAGTATGAACTGCAAAAGCAAGCTTTTATTCCAAGATGTATAGATTATAATCCATCTGCTCCCTTTTCCCCACTGCTTTATCCCTGTAAGACAAAGTAAAATTTATTAGCATATTATATACCAGCTGCTGGACTAAGACAGCAGTGGACATGAACATCAGCCTCATGAGTGAAATTGGAGTTTAATAAATCATAAAATCATAGAATATCCTGAGTTGGAAGGGACCCATGAGGATCATCAAGTCCAGCTCCTGACTCCACCCAGGGCAATCTAAACCTAAACCTGAACTTCCCCCGATGCAGCTTTAAGCCATTCCCTCATGTCCTCTCACTGGACACCAGAGAGGTCAGCACCTCCCTCTCTGCTCCCCCTCATGAGGAAGTTGTAGACAGCAATGCGATCACCCCTCAGTCTCTTCTTAAAGGTGAACAAACCTACTATCCTCAGCTGCTCCTCATAAGTCACACCCTCTAGTCCTTTCACTATCTTTGTTGCCCTCTAGTGGAGACATTCTAATATCCTTCTTATATTGTGGAGCCCAAAACTGAACACAGTACTTGTGGCGAGGCTATACCAATGCTGACCATAGTGGGACAATCACTTTTTTCAACACAGTAGCAGTACAACAAATCTGATATATGGGTTTGCAAAGTAACTTTTAATCTAGAATGAGCATTTGATATGGAGTATGCTATTTAATTTGAATTTGCATTTAGTTGTGATTAATGTGCATATACTCAAACATTTGAGGCAAAGTCTAAGTGGTTTTAGAGTTTAATTATTGATAGAAATTCACAGTAGTTTTTTTGTTACCATGCATATGCATCCTTATTTAGTGTATATCCCCTCACTGTAATAAGAGTGATGTTAATACATTATAAAGGGAATCTAGGTATGGAATTTATACTTTACTTTTTATTTTTTGTTACTGTGGGATGATCATTGTTACTTGATGTGAAGGAGGTAGTGCCACATGACAGACTGACTGAGAAGATGGTTGGAGTGTGTTGTAGAAATACTTATTTCTTTAAAGAATTCTTGAACTAAAAATTAAGTGTTACCTCATGCCAGAATGATTATATTTCTTGAGAGCCTGAGTCTGACAGCTTTATCCATGCTGGGGCCTAGCTTCTTGCCTGATGGTCCCATTAGCTCCAGGGGGGTTGTGAGTAGAATGAGGGCCCAACTGATTGAAAAAGTATGTCCTAGGCTTGTTAAGACTTGAGAGTGTCATCTCTCACACTGCTGACTGGCTACAGATCAGTCTTCCATTATGTGACCAAAGAAGAGAGAGATTTACATGTATAGTTTCTATTCCCATAGTTGCAGAATCAAACTTTGACAGTAATTTAGATCATCAGTGCCAAGGTGACTAGAACTGAAGAAAATGTAACAAATTTGACCAGGTCTATAGCTTGGCCTTAGCATAGCAATAAAGTTAATACGTTGTAAGGGATGGAAACAATATATTGGTGGTGTTCTTGTCCTTATCTGGATATGGTCTTGATCCAGCTAATGGGTTGCATTTTTTGAACCCCCTCCCACATTCCTTTTCTAGAGAGAGTATAGGGGAGCTTATATAAAGTATATATGTACTCTAGCTGAATGCTTTTTTGTAAGTGGAAGATAATTTTTCATTCTTATGTAATTTCATTCTTATGTAATTTTGTCTGTCAAGGCAAGTTGACTCCCTCTAGAGCCTGTCTTCTTTGCAGTCTCTCTGTCTTTTCTTTTTTTCTTTTTTTTTAAATCCATGTTTTAATATGAAGCACACCTGCTCAGTTTATGAAGGTTTAGAAAAAGATGTTGTGTATTAATTATTCCCTGCAGCAGACCATATTATGCAGGTACTGAACCACTAGGGTAAATTATTTCTAGATGGTCCTTTCTACTACACTTTGTTGCATTCAGGACTGCACCTCTTTGTGTGAATTTATTATTTTTTCCCTTTATATAACGCTGAAAGAAGTACTCATGCTCACTTACTCTTTCCCTCCTCCCTTTTTTTAACCAAAGAGAAACATTTGCCTTCTACCTTTGCCAAATTATTTAGTAGAAGAGTGTAAATTAAAGCCATTTATCTTGAAATGTGCTATTGGAGCAGACTGTTTATACAAGTGAAAGAAATGGTAACATAAGAGTATTTCGTCTGGTCTGCAAGGAAAAGGTTTTCTTTTTTTCCTTTTTAATTTTTACAGGTGGGATATTGGTTATAATGTAGAAAAATCTGAGGCTCCAATTTGCACATCGGTGTTTTAGTGCAGTAGGGACAATGGCATATATTTAATGGGGAATATGTTTTTTGTTGCATTTTTGCTAAAATAAATTTGGTGCTAGATTTGAAGCTATGCTGTAATCGGTTTGAGGTAGAATATTTCATGCACATGTTAAAGATTTTCTGACCAGAGAGTGCTCATCATGTGAATCCAGAATAAGCTGTTAATATTTATCCATCAGTTGGTGGACGAGTGAGTCGAGAATTAAATTATACACGGCAGAAGATTGGTGAAGAGGCCATGTTTAACCCTCAGCTCATGATTCAGACTCCACATGAAGATGGTGCCAATATACTAACAATAGAAGCACTCAGACAGCACCTTGACTCTGCACTTCAGGCCAGCAGAGTAGATGTTTATATGTACAACAGGTAAGAAGAAAATCAAAACTTTTCTTGATCATCTGTAACAGTTAGAAAGTGGACAGATATTTCCCTGCATATACTTTTAATGTGTAGCACTTCCATTTAGAACTGTTTTAATTTGAATGTCACTAGTTACTGATGCTTCAAATTGTGTCAGCAGTGATCAGTTGACTTTGTAACAAATAAAGTGGTGTAAGAGGTATTGCATGAGATTCTGAAAATGTACCCTTATGAGCAGAGCTACAGTGTCCAGCATTTTTCTTGGTAAAGAAGTGGTAACTGTGCTCTTAAAAATGGGACTTTATTGATGGGATTTCTAAAAATTACTTAGAATCATAGAATCATAGAATTAACTCGGTTGGAAGAGACCTCCGAGATCATCAAGTCCAACCCTTGATCCAACCCCACTGTGATGACTAGATCATGGCACTCAGTGCCACATCCAGTCTCGTCTTAAAAATCTCCAGGGACGGTGAATCCACCACCTCTCTGGGCAGACCATTCCAATGCCTGATCACTCTCTCTGTAAAGAACTTCTTTCTAATATCCAACCTAAACCTCAACCTAACTTCTTTCTAATATCCAACCTAAACCTCAACCTAAACCTAAACACAAGAGAGACTTCTCTCTCTTGTGTCACCAAGTGTTATCTTAATTCACAAGTGGGCTCATAGAAAGGCACATTTCTGTCCCTTTTAGTTGTGTCAACTAGCTTATTAATCCAAAAGTAGGTCCATTATTTTTAATTACTTTTACAGAGACTGTTTAGCATAAATGGAATAGATTTTTCTAATTATAACTACAAAAAGAAAGACCTTTTCTATTTTGTGAAGTCGTGGCATACCTAAATTGAATAAAATTTGTGTTTTCTCAGTGATTCACTTCTTGAGGCCACCATGTCTATATAAATAATAATTCTAATGTATGTTATTGTAGTGGGTTGACCTTGGCTGGATGTCAAGTGCCCACCAAGCTGCTCTATCACTCTCCCTTCCATCCAGACAGGGGAGAGAAAATAAGATGGAAAATGACATAGGTTGAGATAAGGCAGTTTACTAAAGCAAAGCAAAAGTTTGTGCACGCACAAGTGAAGAAGAAAATAAAAAGGTTTATTCTCTACTTCCCATTAGCAAGCGGTGTTTGGCTACTTCCCAGGAAGCAGGGTTTCAGCACATGGAGCGGTTGCTCCAGAAGGCAAACACTGTAAACAACAAATGCCCACCCCTTTCTCCTCCTTTCCTTAACTTTTATATCTGAACTGACATCACATGGTATGGAATATCCCTTTGGTTAGTTTGGGTCATCTGGCCTGGTTGTGTCCCCTCCCAGGATCTTGCCCTCACTGGAGAGGAGGACAGAATGTTGAGAGACAGTGCTGATGTTGTGCCAGCACTGCTCAGCAGTAGGCAAAACACTGGTGTGTTCTTACCACCTTTCTAGCTACCTTTCTAGCACAGCACTGTGAGGGCTGCTATGGGGAAATGAACTCCATCTCAGCCACACCCAATACAGGTACATTTTAAAAATAACTTTTAAGTAATTCTTAAAGAAAAAAACCTTGTTCTTTATATTTATTACAGAAAATGGAAATTGGAACACTTATGTTATAAATCAGGAGAACTCATCACAGAAGCAGGGTACATGGACCAGGTAGGCATAACAGGCATTTGATTATGAACAATTTATACTTTCACAATTCAACTTGTGTTGTTTAGATTATATTGTAGTCTAATTGTGTTTTTTTCCCTTTTTTGACTTTGACAGATCATAGAATATCTTTATCCTTGTTTAATCATCACTCCTTTGGACTGCTTCTGGGAGGGAGCAAAGCTACAGTCAGGAACTGCCTATCTATTGTAAGCATGCTGTTTTAATAACTTTTCAGTTAATAGCTTTAATAGTAAAATGATGCATGATTTTGAGATGTATCCCAGTGCTTATTCAGATTCTGGTTTAACCAAAAAATAAGAAATGAAAAAAAGAATAAAATTGTTGTGTCTGTAGAAAATGTGAATGGATTTTTTTTAATTGAGTAAAGATTTTTCTGTTTCTAAAAAATGATTTTTATGCATCAACTTAAGTCCTGTGTCATTACTTTTCTCGTTCTGCTGGCATGCAAAAGAAAATATAAAGTCTGAATTCAAGCTTTTTTAATTCTATGCTTTTTGGGTATGTCATGGTTCAGGTTTTAGCAAGGAATTTTTTCTTTCCCTTCCCTCCGCCGTGTGTGTCCTGTGTATAGGTCATCAGGTAGCTATCAGGTGAACAAAAGAATCAGCCCCTCCACTAATGGCCGAGAGATTAGTCTCCTAGGAAATGGGGAGATGAAGGAGCTAAAGTTTACTTTTTTCTCTCGTCTCCGGGGCAACGGGGGGAGGAGGAATTTTGGTGGGCTGTGGGCTGTGGCTGGGGCTGGTGTGTGTGCCGGTGGGCTGGGGCTGGGGACGGCAGGACACCTCGGCGGAGGACAAGCTTGCTGCTGTCTCTTTTTGCCCTGAGCCATTGCCAGCTGCAGTTTTTGCCTGAGGTGGATTCTAACCAGCTGAAGATCGTGAGTTTTCTTCCATTGGGAGAACTTTCTGTTCTATTGATGGGTTTTTTTTAAATTTTATTTCCTTTCCCTTCCCCCCCCCACTCCCTCTCTCCTTTCCCAGTGTGGGAAGGGGAATCGAGTTTTTTTGTTGTTTTTTTCTCCGACATACCCTGGAGGGTGTTGCTTTTCCCCCTTCCCCCATCCCACGTGGCAGCAACCAGGGATCTCACAGCGCCGCCTGGTGACGGGCACCGGACATTACAAGTTCTGCACCTCCAGTGAACCAACAGCGCCACCTGGTGACTACTATAGGACACTACAAGTTCTGCATCTCCAGTGACCCAACAGCGCCACCTGGTGAATGGTACAGGACATTACAAGTTTTGCATCTCCAGTGACCTGACAGCGCCCCCTGCTGACTGTGGTTGGAATTGCACCAAAGGGCACTGTCCCAGTTTAAATGAGACAAGGGTCTTTTGCTGAGGATGAGTTAGGAGAAAAGACCCAAACTTCTCTTTCTAAGCAATTATAAATCCAAAATTAAGAGGCTCCGATTGAAGGAAAACAAATTATGGAAAAGGGAAAATAACAGCCCTTTATTAAAAGGTATGTGTGTATTAACAGAAACACAAAAAAACCAAGTAAAACAACCAAACAATACTCCTATACCCACCAATAATCCCCTTCAAGAACAAACTGATAAACCGGCAAAAGGAAAAATTAACAGTTCAATTTTTGCGCCCTTTGGTGCAGTTCCAACCACAGTCAGCAGGGGGCACCGTCAGGTCACTGGAGATGCAGAACTTGTAGTGTCCTATAGTAGTCACCAGGTGGCGCTGTTGGTTCACTGGAGGTGCAGAACTTGTAATGTCCGAAACCCAACACGTGGATATGCCGGAGAAAAACCAATCCCACCAAAAAAAAAAAGGAACCTTCTTTCCCTTCCCACACACTGGGAGAGGGAAAGGGAGAGGGGAAAAAGGGACCAGACAATTTCACTTACTCCAGCTGGTCGAGAAAACTGCTTTGCCCAGTCCTTTCTCTTTGCAAGGGAAAAAAAGAAAAAAAAGAAAAAAAAACCTCCAGGGAAGGAAACAAAAAACAATAGATCTTATCTGGGAAAAAAAAATTCCTTACTGGCTCGACTGAGATCAGAGAGCTGAAACCCCACCCAGCCACACTTGTTGTCCAGGAGACAAGAGAAAAAAGGTAAAGAGCAGTTCCTTATCTCCCTCGTCTCCTAGGAAACTAATTTTCGGCCATCAGCCATGGAGCTAGGTCTTTTGTGTTTCTAAGCACTTATTTGATGGTCAGGGGGAAGGGAGAAAATTCTCTAGCTGGCTTACAAGAGCTAGCTAAAACCACGACAGGTGCAAAAATTGAACTGTTTACTTTTCCTTTTGCCGGTTTATCAGTTTGTTCTTGAAGGGGATTATTTATGGGTACAGGAGTATTGCTTGGTTGTTTTACTTGGTTTTTTTCGTGTTTCTGTTAATACACACATACCTTTTAATAAAGGGCTGTTATTTTCCCTTTTCCATAATTTGTTTTCCTTCAATTGGAACCTCTTAATTTTGGATTTATAATTGCTTAGAAAGAGAAGTTTGGGTCTTTTCTCCTAACTCATCCTCAGCAAAAGACCCTTGTCTCATTTAAACTGGGACAGGGTAATAAACTTTTTCCTTTCCTTCTTTTTTTTTTCCCTCCACCCCCAAACTAAAAAAATATTGGTTGGGAATTAATTTTTTTCTAAGAAAATTTAGGTCTCTTAGGTAAATACTGAGGTCTTCCTAAGGAATAAAACTCAAATCATTTGCTTATGAGATCATTAAAGAAATCAAATTTATCTTTTATGAGTAGTTTCTTATCAAGTGTGATATTGTATGTCCTGGATCGTTCAAAGCGTTAATTGTTAATCTGTGCAGGCATTTATTTATGAAAGACTTAACATTTGAGTTATTGTTTCTGACCTGGTTTGCATGTGTCTGTGAAAGCAATTTGCAATGGCTATCTCCTATCATTTACTGTACAGTTTTAGATGGAGAAATAAGGGTTGGGAGGTTTCAAATAAAGAATTAAGCCTATTTAAGCAAATACAGTTTGAATCACAGAATAAGGCAACTAAAAGCCTTTGTAGTCTGTTAACATCGCAAATTCAAAAGTGGGAGGGGGAGATGTGACAGTGATGACAGCCATGGTAGCAGGAAAGCTTGATGGTTGATAGTCAAACAACCAGGGCATTTGCAGAAGCACAGAATTTTTATAGATAAAGAAAGACCAGCTTTATTGATTGATTACATTTGCAAGATGATTATTAGACCAGCAAAAAGTAATCTGATACTATGTGAAAGGATTTCTTTCTTCAACTTCCTCCCTTCTTTCCCTCTCCCCTCTCTCCAAATTCTTTGAAGCAGCAGTTGGCTGTGTTTTTGTTATTTTGGTGCTTGATGGTTTGTTTTACTTGGTTTGTAAATGAAATTATTTTTAACGTGAATATTCCCTTTCATACAGTAAATTGGTATGTAAGGACTGATATTTTTGTTAAAATCACCACAGGGCCTACAAGAAAAGTATGCATAAATAAATATAATTAAAACATGCATTTCATTTTATGAAACAACCTTACCAGAAAAGGTTATAGCTTGTAACAGAAAAGAACTTCAACATTTGCAAAAATACAAATTAAAAAACTATGTTTCAGTACTTATTTTGTCTTTTTTTTGTCATTCTCCCCTGATTTCTTTAACAGAGGGAAACCTCCTTTTCAGTGGATCAACTTTGACCCCTTAGAATTCTTAGAAAAGTTAAAAAAAATAAATTACCAAGTGGAGAGCTGGGAAGAAATGCTGAAAAAAGCAGAGGTTGGTCATGGTTATATGGATCGACCTTGTCTGAATCCTGCTGATCCCGATTGTCCAATCACAGCTCCCAACAAAAATTCCACCAAAGTAAGTTTGCTTACCTGTATGTAAATCTTTTCAAGGGAGGCTCTGTATGTGTGGTGAGAGAAAAGGGTATCATTCCCTTCCAAGTAATATATATTTTATGTTCTTCAGGGATTTCATTATTTAGTTCCTATTATATAATTAGCCCAGGGTAACTAACTTTCCCTCATCCTGTGATGCAATATTAATCACATACTTAGAGTGAAATTTCAGTTCTCAGCTACTGACTAGGTGTGGCAATGTAATAATTTAAGCAAGCAATATGCCTCAGGCAGACACAGTTACTCCTGGAATATGACTGCTGCTGTACACTGACACTATGCAGCAAGACCTTCCTTCAAGTAGGGCCAGTTTTGTTGACCCAACTTGATATATCCCTTTCTCAGTCATTTTGGAGAAGTTGCTATCTGGTGAACAAGTATCAGGCTAGTTTGTCTACTCCCATTTATTGAACACATTTCTCTTTGTAGACTTCCTAGATGATCTTCAGTATCTGTTATTTCAGTAAACTCGATGTTAATTTAGGATTTGTCTGAAGTTGTGCAGCTGATGAATTGCTTCTTTAAAACTTTATTCTAGCCTCTTGATGTGGCTCTTGTTTTGAGTGGTGGATGCTATGGACTGTCAAGAAAATACATGCATTGGCAGGAGGAATTGATTATAGGTGGTGCAGTCAAGAATAGTTCTGGTAAGCTTGTCAGGTAAGCAAACAAATGTTTACATAAGAATTTTTAATTTTTTCTTTGTTAGAATTTGGAGTTTTTTTCACAGGGGGCCATATCATGCAAAATCAACTGTCTTTCACAATCTGTGAATGATGTGCATTGTAACCTAAAGAGATAGCAGAGAAAAAAACTCCAGGCCAATGTAGTGTATAAGATAAAAAGAGTGGGTCCTTTAATCAGACCCACAGGCTCAGGGGAATACACACAATGCATGCACCCAGGCAGTGGCTCTATGATTTTATAATAAGGTCCATCCAATTCCAGATCTGTCCACCCCCAGTTCTACCCAGTTCTGCCCCCCGACACGCCCCTTCAGCAATTGGGTCTGGGGTCTTTGGGACCCCTTCTTCCTCATCTTCATCTTCTTCACAGCACATACAGTCCTTGGAACTCCTCCAAAATTCTGGGCTTGAAGGTTGCTTTTGCCTGTCATGGTATCTTGTTGTTCAGGACTAGGGTGTGATGTTCTTAAACAGAGGTGTTTTTCTAGAGTTCTACCTTTAAAAGAAGACTAAATATGCTAAAGGAATTTAGAAAGTTTGATATAAAATGGGGTAAGAGGGTTGGGTATTTGTAAACTACTATGTTAAAGGGTAAGGGATTATACAGCTACATTAAAATCTACATTTACTACATAACTACTTCTAAAATCTACAAAAAGCTAAAAAGAATCCAAAAAGCTCTAAGGTGTCAGTATTATTGACCCTGGTCTAGGAGGAAAAAATTTAAAAGAGTGATTATTAAACAGTTGTTTAAATTTAAGGAGGTGTCATTGCTGCCTTCTTCAAACCTAAAAATGATAGTGTACATTTCTCAGAAAGAACTTTTTTTCCTGTCAACTTTGTTGTTTAGAGTGTATGTATAAAGTATTGAACAGTATTTAAAATAATGAACAACTTTGTGTTTTTGAAATATGATCAAAGGAAAAAATGGGAAATATAACTTGGGTAATGTGCCCACTTATTTTTCTTTTATCAAAAATCAAAAATCTCCATTGAACTCTTTGTTTAAGGTCAATACAGAGAAAAGTATATTCTTTATTCACCGTATCTTGAATACGTTTTCTGACAGACAAAATAAAACCCTTTCTTTTAGACTTCTTGAAGAAGTCATAGACTTTGGGAGGAAAACCCCTTGAAGTATAATTCTTACATATTTAATACAGATAATTTTTACTAGAACTTTTTATATGGATTTTGATGTTTTTTACATTGACACTAAATACTGAAAGTGGAAAAGTACACAGAAGTGTCTTCTAGCAAATAGCCAAAGACCTTATTCCTGGTGAAAAATGAAATAGCTCTTTAAGCTTCTAAAATTGTTGGGTACAGTTACATACTGTGTAAATTTACAATGGATAATTATTGCCTTTTGTGTATTCTTTACTGCTTGTCAGCTGTCAGGAGTTTAGTCTGGCATTTCTCTCCAAGGTATGAAGAAGACCAAGGTCTTCAAATGACAAATTGCCAACAGCATTTGCAAGATCTCATAGGAATAACTGTTTCTGTGTCCTTCTCATAGCAATCTGTCAGTCATGATCTTTATAATTGATTTGTAGGGTTCCATTCTTTGCTCCTGGAAGTGATCCTATTGAAAATAATGGCAAAATACTCACTAACTTCAGTGAAATATAGACTTAACATCAGTACTGTATAGACCACTACAGTTTCACCAGATACATGGTAGAATAATTATAATCTGTTCAATTTTAATATTAACATGTGGCTTATAAAATCCAGAATTTGTGCAAGCTCCTGTTAGACCCTCATTTGAGCCTTTATGCAGTGAAAAAAACAGTTCCCAAAAATACTTATTTTAATGCCTCTTTTTCCTCTCTCTTCTCTCCCTGGTTACAGTGCCCAGGCTTTGCAAACCATGTTTCAGTTAATGACTCCTAAGCAAATGTATGAGCACTTCAAGGGGTATGAATATGTTTCACATATCAACTGGAGTGAGGATAAGGCAGCAGCAATTCTGGAAGCCTGGCAGCGGATGTATGTTGAGGTAAAACTGACAATAGCCTAGATGTCTTGCTATATAGCTTTACTAAGGTCCACTGCCTTTAGTTGTGGCTTTTTATAGTATTTTCTCAAGGAAGATGCTTAAACTAGAATTAAGTGTTGTATCCTGGTTTTAAAGTTATCCTTATGCTGTAACAAACAATTTTAAAATTACCTTGATACCTGGCAATGTTATGGAGCAGATCATCTTGAGTGCAATCACACAACACATACAGGACAGCTGGGGGATCAGACCCAGACAACATGGATTTAGGAGGGGCAGGTCCTGCCTGACCAACCTGATTTCCTTTCATGACCAGGTGACCCACCTGGTGGATGAGGGGAAGGCTGTGGATGTGTTCTATCTGGACTTCAGCAAATCCTTTGACACCGTCTCCCATAGCATACTCCTGGAAAAGCTGGCAGCCCACAGCTTGGACAGGGGCACTCTGTGCTGGGTTAGGAACTGGCTGATGGCCAGGCCCAGAGAGTGGTGGGGAATGGTGTTGCATCCAGTTGGCAGCTGGTCACTAATGGTGTCCCCCAGGGATCAGTGTTGGGCCCAGTCCCCTTTATTATCTTTATTGATGATCTAGATGAGGGAATCGAGTCTACCATGAGCAAATTTGCAGATGATACCAAGTTGGGGGGGAATATTGATCTGCTGGAAGGCAGGAGGGCTCTGCAGAGGGACCTGGACAGGCTGGATAGATGAGCCAAATCCAACGGTATGAGGTTCAACAAGACCAAGTGTTGGGTCCTGCACTTTGGCCACAACAACCCCATGGAGCACTACAGGTTGGGGACAGGGTGGCTGGAGAGCAGTCAGGCAGAAAGGGACCTGGGGGTACTGATTGACAGCAGGCTGAACATGAGCCAGCAGTGTGACCAGGTGGCCAAGAGGGCCAATGGCATCCTGGCCTGGATCAGCAATAGTGTGATCAGCAGGACCAGGGCAGTGATTCTTCCCCTGTACTTGACCCTGGTTAGGCTGCACCTCGAGTACTGTGTCCAGTTCTGGGTCCCTCATTTTAGGAAGGATGTTGAGGTGCTGGAGCATGTCCAAAGAAGGGCAACAAGGCTGGTGAAGGGACTGGAGCACAAGTCCTATAAGGAGTGTCTAAGGGAGCTGGAATTGTTTAGCCTGGAGAAGAGGAGGCTCCGGGGAGACCTCATCACTCTCTGCAACTACCTGAGAGGAGGTTCTAGCCAGGTGGGTGTTGGTCTCTTCTCCAGGGCAACTAGCAGTAGGACAAGAGGGCACAGTCTTAAGCTGCACCAAGAAAGAAGTTCTTTACAGAGAGAGTGATTAGTCATTGGAATGGGCTACCCAGGGAGATGGGGGAGTCACCATCCCTGGAGGTATTTAAGAAGAAACTGGATGTGGCACTTTCAGCCATGGTCTAGTTGACAAGTTAGGTCAAGGGTTGGACTCGATCTCAGAGGTCTTTTCCAACCTAGTTGATTCTGTGATTCTGTGAAAAGGTTGATTTTTTTATTTTTTTTTAATTAAGAAGCTGCTTGCTTAAACCCATATGAGAAGCCATGAAGATTTTACTGTTTGCTGGACCTTGGATTAAAGGCAAAACTCATACAACAGCAAATCAGTGGCAGAGTTATGGAAAGAAGAAACCTCCTTTACATTTCAGGAGTTAAATGTTGCGAATGAGCTATGAATGCAGTGGCCTTTCCTGAAGATGTAAATTCTTGTTTGATAATCAGTAGCTTGCAGGAAATAATAACAAAAAATATTTATTTCGTATAGCCTCAGTGAAATCTCTGTTATAGGGTGTATGCTTGAATAGGAACATTAAGGCAAAAGCAGTTGATTTCAGATATTTGCTATAGAAGATGATAATGGGCTTCTTTCTTAGGCACACTAACTTTTTTTTCTGTAGGTTGTTCATCAAAGTGTTGCAGAAAACTCTACTCAGAAGGTGCTTTCCTTTACCACAACTACCCTGGATGACATTCTAAAGTCATTTTCTGATGTCAGCGTTATCAGAGTAGCTAGTGGCTACTTACTAATGGTAAGAAATTAAATTCTATTTGTTTAATTAACTCCAGTAGTATAGCAGGGTTCAAATGGCTGCCTTCTTGTTACCAGTCAACAGTTGAGAACATTTTCAGAATACTTAAAATAAAAATTGCAGTTTGTAAACATTTGCCTCAGGGTTGTCACCTATTCCTCTATGTAACATCTCTGATATGTCTGTTCTGTTTAAAAACACTTGTAAGCTATGTATATTGTTGAGGGGGGATAGGGAATAGAGAAGGATCCATTCTAATCCAATCCTTGCTTTGCTTTCAGCTTGCCTATGCCTGTTTAACAATGCTGCGGTGGGACTGTGCAAAGTCTCAAGGTGCTGTGGGGCTGGCAGGAATCTTCTTGGTTGCGCTCTCAGTGGCTGCAGGACTGGGTCTGTGCTCATTGATTGGAATTTCCTTTAATGCTGCCACAACTCAGGTATTGAGGAGCCAAAAGTCTGCTGCTATATTACAAGAACTTTGTTAGTAAATAAACACATCTGAATCAATCTTTGAGGAAAAACATAAGCTGAGAAAATATTTTTTTTTATTTTTACTTACATCTTTCTCCTATCCAGGAGCTTGTGCTGTGAGAAATTAAGAGAACGTGCTTCCAAATAATTTTAAGAAAAAGGCAGATATCCTGCAGTTTGTTTAATTATGTAGATTCTAGGATATTTGTTCTTCTGTGTCTCAGCTGCAAGTTTTGCCCTTACATCCAAATATATAGGGATGTTCAACTCCTGAAAATATTTTGAAAATAACTTGAAATATTGTCTGTTATTCTTTGACTACCAAAAGCTTGAATTACTTTTTGTGAGGTTTTATACCTCTAAATGGTATACTGCAAGTTTCTCATCACTTTCAGAATGAAAGTTAATAGCTGTATCACATCACATTGATTTTCATTTTAACCTTGGATTTCTCTTCAGAGTGTAGTGTAAAGTTTATTTTGATTAGCCATCTAACAACTATCTGCATGGAAAATCATAAGAATAATATAAAAATGCTTTTTTTTTTTTTTTTACTTGTTTTGTTTCTTCCCCAAGGTTTTGCCTTTTCTTGCTCTTGGAGTTGGTGTAGATGATATATTCCTTCTGGTACATGCATTTAGTGAAACAGGGCAGAATAAGAGAATTCCATTTGAGGTAATGACAAAATGGGGTGTTTGGGGAAAATAAAAGAATAAAGTAAAAGAAAAACCTCGTAGAGGAAAATATACCTAGAATTATTTAGTAATGATTTTTTTAAAAAGCTTTTGTTCTAGAGATCTTTGTTCTTGGGTCTGGTTTTCTTTCCTTTTATTTATAATTAACCATGACCTTCACATATTCACATTTTGAAATCTAAGATCCTCCTCACTTTTATAATCTTTTCCTTTTATTGACCTTTTTATTCTCAGTCCAGAGTTTCATATCCAAAGTACAAATCATTTAAAAGCAATATATATTTGTCAGGTTAGTTTTGTACAAGCAGTGTCTTCCATGTGCTCTTTCCTTTTGGTTTGTCATGCAGGCAATACAAACTCATTGTGCTATAACCTTCATATGCTTCAAAATAACCTACTGCATTGGGAAAGGGTCCTGTGTTTGATCCTCTGTTTTTTTGTGTGGTTCCTGTGATTTCTGTTTGTTGGGGTTTTTTTCTCACATGCTTCTTCAAGACATTATGAATCTACACTGTTAATGTATGCTTATTTTGTCTGAAAAATGTTAAGAACACCAAGTTACTGCACTGATACAGAACACATCCTACTTAACTGATGTATTTGATATAATATCAGTATCCATTTATCTTTGACTTTTGAAGCCAGTGTCATCTTTGATAATTTTTGCTACCCTCAAAAAATGTAAGCACTTCATATGTCATCTGCTTTTCTCCTGGACAGTGTACTTAGTATGTTGTTTACTCTTACAAACTCTCAAATGCATACTTTTATTCAGAAATTCCTTGTAATACTTTTCACTGTTACCATGGTATATCTGTAGGATGATCTCTTCATTTGAAGAACATCACCTTATTTGTTTTACTTTGTTTTGCAGGACAGAACAGGTGAATGTTTGAAGCGAACAGGAGCAAGTGTAGCCCTTACATCTATCAGCAATGTTACTGCTTTTTTTATGGCTGCCTTAATCCCTATTCCTGCTTTACGAGCATTTTCACTCCAAGTAAGTTCTTATGTTGTTTTGTTAGCTCTTGTAGATGGTGTCATTGTGGAAATGAATGATAAAGACCATGTTCAGTGCTTCTGCAGTTCACTCAACCAATATGGGATCACTGTTTACTATAGTTTACCATAGTTCTTGGTGGTAGCCAACTGCTTTCTCCTCTTGATTCTGCTCCTTCCATTTCTCATACCATGAGTCTCATATCCTGTTTGTGGGTGAGAGAATATCCTGCCCCATCCCAACTAAGTTGAGTGCAAAAACCAAGAAGTATGCAACTAAGCAGAAACAAGTCTCCAGCAAGATTTGAATTCTTAAGGCAGTCTAGATCAGTACACTATACTCTAGTTTACACCATCACATTCCTAAGTAGGAATTTAATCATTTCATTGAGGTTTGTCAAATTTGCTGCTATTACAAACCATAACCAAGGTGCATTTACCACATTAATAACTACTGTAGCAGTTTGTACTGACTTGTTCCCAATGTAATTTTAGCAAAATGTTGGAGAAAAATTCAAGAATTTTCTGTTCTGAGAGAAAATGTGATTTTTCTGTGCTGAAGCATGTATTTCCTGACACAGCTGGTAAGTGAGCCTACCAGGGGAGGTGCCCCACTGGGCCTGCTATTTACAAACAGAGAAGGGTTGGTGGGAGATGTGGTGGTCAGAGGCTGTCTTGGGCACAATGACCATGAAATGATAGAATTTTTGATTCTTGGTGAAGTAAGGAAGAGGGTAAGCAAAACTGCTACCTGGGATTTCTGGAGGGCAGACTTTGGCCTGTTCAGGACACTGTTTTGGAGAACCCCTTGGGAAACAGCCCCTAAAAAGAAAGGGGTCCAGGAAAAGTGGACATACTTAAAGAAGGAAATCTTAAAGGTGCTGGAGCAGGCCTTCCCCATGTGCCGAAAGACGAGACAGTGGGGAAGACCAACCTGGTTGAACAGGGAGCTTTTGTTGGAACTCAGGGGAAAAGAAGAGAGTTTATGCCTTTGGAAGAAGGGGCAGGTAACTCAGGAAGGGTATAAGGATGTCATTAGGTCAGGCGCAGAGGGGGCATTACTGGGAAATGCAAGGACAACTTAAATGAGGCAAGACCAAAACCAACAGTCAGTTGGCAAGGCGGCAGCAGTGGTGAGTGAGGTAAGTCCGGTGGACAGGATTAGATCAAGTTGTAAAGGGGCATTCCCAAGCTCAGGGATACCCAAGCAGCAGCCTCGAGCCTCGTCAGGCCCTGAAAGCCCAATCAGGCATGGAGGGTGTGTTGCTGGAAACAGTGAGGGCAATTTAAACATCTCTAAAGGAGCACGAGCGACCTGGAGCATGGCACGGCAATTTGCACAGGCAGGGTAAGCGGGAAGGGCTCCACTCTGACCATCAGGGATCAGCCAATAGAGCAAACAGACTCAGTATCTGGTGGAGAAGAGCACAATAAGATCCTTTCAGTCCCAACCTTATTAGTGTACTAGTGTAAGCTTCTTCAGTTATGGTCTTGACACACCATAGAGCTCAATCCTCTGTAGCTGCAGGAGTCACTGAACCAGCTGTGTCAGAGGCCTCCAGCCAGACAGACCTGATGATGGTAGATATAGCTCTCCAGGTCACAGGTTGCCAAGAGTGTCTGATGCCTCTCTGTGAGGCTGGGGCAGACAAACAGTTATTTTGCAGAAGGTTGAAGAGCTGTGTTGCCAGGTGAGGGAGCTACAGGAGGAAGTGAATAGGCTGTGCAGTATTCGAAGAAAAGAGCAAGAGATTGACTGGTTATTTACAGAGATGCTACAGTCTCAAGACTCTTGAGACTCTTGAACCTCCATTGCTGTGGAGAAGCAATGGACTCAGAACCCTGCCATAGTCAAGGGTCTGTTGAAGATGAAGGTTGGAAGCTGGTCACTGTGAGGTGAAGGTTCCTTCTCCTTCTGAAAGTTTAACAAGTAGAACTGGTACCTTCTACAACAGGTATGAGGCCCTGAAACCAGAAGGCCAGAATACTGATGAGGTGGGCGAAGGTCCTTCTGGGACAGAGGGGCCTCCTAAAGCAACCCCACCTGTACCCCGCATCACAATCTCCTCTGTTAAGAGGAAAAGAAGGGTAGTTTTAATAGGAAACTCCCTTCTAAGGGGAACAGAGAATCCAATATGCAGACCCAACCCAACTCACAGGGAAGTCTACTGTCTCCCAGGGGCTCAGATAAATGACATTACTGGAAAACTCTCCAGTCTAGTAAGGCCCTCTGATTACTATCCATTATTGGTTGTTCAAGCTGGCAGTGACAAAATAACAAGGAGAAGTCCAAAGGCATCAAAAGAGACTTTAGGGCCTTGGGATGATTAGTTGAAGGATCTGGAGCACAGGTAGTGATTTCTTCGATTCTTCAAGTACCAAGTAATAATATTGATAGGAATAGGCAGATCCATCAGATCAACACATGGTTCCAAGGCTGGTGTAAGTGAAAAAATTTGGGGTTTTTTGACCATGGGATAATCTCCTCAAAACCTGGTCTACTGACACCTGATGGGATGCACCTTTCTCAGAAGGGAAAAAGAGTTCTAGCACAGGAGCTGGCAGGGCTTGTTGACAGACCTTTAAACTAGCTTGGAAGGGGGAAAAGGACAAAACTAGGCTTGCCAGAGATGAGCAATGGGACAGTGTGCCAAAACTTGAGGAAATGAGTATTAATGGAATCCCTCAATCTGTTTCACGAGGTGTTGGCCACAAAGTACCACACCTGAAACATTTCTACACTAATGTATGCAGCATGAAGAACAAACAAGAGGAGCTGGAAGCTTTGGCCCAGTCCCACAGGTTTGACATCATTGGCATAAGTGAAATCTGGTAGGATGAGTCCTATGACTGGAGTGCCATGTTGGTTGATTACAGACTCTTCAGAAGGGATAGGCAGGGCAGAAGAGGCAGAGGGGTGGTGTTGTATGTGATGGAGGGACTAGAACATATGGAGCTTACAGTTGGCAATGGCACAGTTGAGACCCTCTGGGTAAGACTCAAGGGACAAAGAAACAATGCGAATGTCATCGTGGGAGCCTACTATTGACCACCTAGCCAGGATGATAATGCCAATGAATTATTCTTCGAGGAATTTAGAGGCACCTACAAATCAACTACCCTTGTCCTTTGGGGGGACTTCAACTTGCCGGATGTTAACTGGGAACACCACGCAGCTGGCACAAACAGGTCCAGAAGATTCCTAAAACACCAGAATGAGAACTTCACGATACAAGTACTAAGAGAACTGACTAGGAAAGATGCCCTCCTTGATTTGTTGCTTTTTAACAGAGAGGGTCTTGTGAGGGAAGTGAAGATGGGCGGCCACCTTGGCCACAGCAACCATGAAGTAATTGAGTTCAAAATCTCTGTTGACAAGAGGAAAAGTGCCAGCAAGACTTCAACTCTGGACATGAGAGCAGACTTCAGGCTGCTCAGGGAATTAGTAAGTAAAGTCCCCTGGGAAAACACTTTTTCAGGTGCTGGGTTCCATCAGTGCTGGTCACTTTTTAAGCACCACCTCCTAAGGGCACAGGAACAGGCAATTCCCAAATGTCAGAAATCAAGCAGGTGTCAAGAAGGCCAGCTTGGCTGAGCAGGGATATTCTTTTGGAAATAAGGCAAAGAAAGGTGTATGCTTGGTGGAAGCAAGGTCAGCTGACATGGGAGGAATACAGTGATGCTGATTTCTACTGAGGGAGAAAGTTCGTGCGACCAAAGCTCAATTGGAGTTGAAGTTGGGCAGTACTGTGAGGGACAATAAAAAGATGATATTTTTAGTATGTTAATAGCAAAAGGCAGTGCAGGATCAACATAGGCCTGTTACAGGATGAGGATGGCCACCTCACAAACAGGGACAGAGTCAAGGCAGGGATGTTTAATGTTTTCTTTCCCTCTGTCTTCAACCCTGATGACAGGCTAAGGGGGTCCCAGTGGCTGAGCTGGAGGCCCATGACTGCGAGAATGATCAACTTCTAGTTGACCCTGATGTTGTGAGGGATCTGCTGCTCCAACTAGATCCCTAAAAGTCTATGGGGCCTGATGGGATTCATCCAGGAATCCTCAAGGAGCTTCCTGATGTCATCACAGAACCTGTCTCAATGATTTTTGAGCAGGCTTGGGAATCTGGAGAGGTCCCAGCTGACTGGAAGCTGGTGAATGTTGTCCTGATTTTCAAGAAGGGCAAGAAGGAGGACCCTGGAAACTACAGTCCTGTCAGTCTCCCTTCAGTGCCTGTTAAAATGATGGAAAAGATTCTTCTGGGAAGTATTGAAAAACACCTGAAGGGCAACATAGTCATCAGTCACAGCCAGCATGGCTTCATGAGGGGAAATCCTGCTTGTTGAACCTGATTTCCTTCAACACCTGGTTGATCAAGGGAAGCCAGTTGATGTAATCTCTTTGGACTTCAGCAAAGCCTTTGATACCATCTCTCAAGGGACCCTTCTGGACAAAATGTCCAGCATACAGTTGGATAACCATGTTATGCAATGGGTGAGCAACTGTCTCATGGGTCAGGCACAAAGACTTGTAGTGAATGGGGCAACATCAGGCTGGTGACCTGTCACTAGTGAGGTTCCACAGGGCTCCATCCTCCACCCAGTTGTCTTCAACATCTTCATAAACAACTTGGACACAGGACTCGAAGGTATACTAAGTAAGTTTGCTGCTGACACTAAATTGGGAGAGGCCGTTGACTCCCTTGAGCGCAGAGAGGCCCTGCAGAGAAACCTCAACAAATTAGAAGGCAGGGCAATCACCAACCACATGAAGTTTAACAAGGGGAAGTTCCAGATTCTGCACCTAGGATGGAGCAACCCTGGTTGGGGAATGAGAGGCTGGAGAGTAGCACTGTGGAAAGGGACCTGGGGGTCCTGGTCGATGGCAAGTTGAATATATCAGCAGTGTACTCTGGCAGCCAGGAAGGCCAACTGTGTCTTGGGGTGCATTAAAAGCACAGCATCAGCAGCTGGTCAAGGGAGGTGATTGTCCTGCTCTACTCTGCACTGGGATGGCCTCACCTTAAGTACCGTGTGCAGTTTTGGGCACCACAATATAAAAAAGACATTAAGTTATTAGAGAGCGTCCAATGGAGGGCCATAAGAATGGTGAAGGGTCTGCAGGGGAAGCCTTATGAGGAGCAGCTGAGGTCACTTGGTCTATCCAGCCTGGAGAAGAGGAGACTGAGGGGAGACCTCATTGCAGTCTTCAACATCCTCACAAGGGGAAACGGAGGGCTTAGTATCGATCTCTTTACTCTCACGACCATTAACAGGACTCGAGGAAATGGCATGAAGCTGAGTCGGGGGTGGTTTAAGTTAGATTTTAGGAAAATATTCTTCACCCAGAGGGTGGTTGAGCACTGGAACAGGCTCCTCAGGGAAGTGATCACAGCATCAAGCCTGAGTTCAAGAAGCCTTTTGACAATGCTCTCAGGCACATGGTGTGAATCTTGGGGTGTCCTGTGTAGGGCCAGGAGTTGGACTTGATGATCCTGATGGGTCCCTTCCAACTCAGCATATTCTATGATTCTATGATATGATTCTATGTAGAGAGAAAATTTGAAAGGGGGAAGCTTAACTAGAATTCAATCTGGCCCCTGTTGTGAAAGATATGTAGCAGCCAAGCATGAGAAAGGCCTGAAGAATGTTCAGATGACCTTGTGTTGTTTTCTCTAAGCCATGATTTACTGCCCAGGGAGAGCTGAACTCCAGTTTGCAATTTCACCATGTGGGGGTGTGAAAAGGGTAACTTGAAACTCCAAGGTCTGTATGTGTGTGTGTGTGTGTGTGTGTGTGTGTGTGTGTGACAGGCTGGCCATGAGAGTGATTGATGTGTTGCTTGCAGCTGTGTTCTGCCTTGATTTGCCTAACTACTCCCAGTGGGAAGTGAATGATATAAAAACCCTGGATCATGGGGAATAAAGTGATTTCTGTCCATCAAACCAAGAGTCCATAATTTGAATTCCGTTTAAAAAGTCTTTTTATAAATACATTAGCAACAAAAAGAGGACCAAGGAAAATCTCCATCCTTTATCGGATGCAGAGGGGAACATTGTAACCAAGAATGAGGAAAAGGCTCAGGTACTCAATGCCTTCTTTATCGGCCGTGGTAGCTGTGACACCACAGAAATTTTCAGATCTTGGGTTCAAGATACTCCACTAGCAGTGAAGACACAAAGTGGTAAAATGGCCAAAAGACCAAAAAGTCCCTTTATTGCAGTGTGAGCTAGCTTTTTATCAGTAAAGCATGGAATGTGTGGAATTAGGGAGGATTTCTAGGGAGGTTAACATGCAAGGGAATATCTAAACATGGGTACCATAGATGGAAAGCAGGGAAGAGCTATAAATTCTACTAACAGGGTAGTGAGCTTAGGGTTTACAATTGCAGATAAGGGCAGGGTCTAATAGTAATTGAAACTAACACATTACATACAAAGTAAGGTATTTCTCTAACAACATTGTTACTAAATTGAATAAACTTAACACTTTTATAACATGAAACGCTGTTTCTGAGGTAGAAAATCATCTGTTGTTCAGTAGTGTAGTTGTATCCCAAAACTGTCTTTCCTCAATTCTCCTTTTCTTCAGAGATTTTTCTCCACCATGAATATATTTCTTGTGGGGAGCTTCCAACATTCTTTGCCTTAGTCTTCAACAGAAAGATCAGTTATCCTCAGGGTAACAAGCCCCCTGAGCTGGCAGACAGGGACGTGTGTCATTCCTCACACATAGTAACCCTTTATATGTATATAAGAGATGGGGAAATGTGCAACAAGGCCAACCAGAGAACCGTATTGAGGATTTACTGGTACTGGAGAAATCTGTGTATATAAGAGGAGTGGGTTTACCTTGACTGGATGCCAGGTGTTCACCAAGCTGCTCTATCACTCCTCTTCCCAGCTGGACAGGGGAAAGAGAATAAGAGGGAAAATGACTCGAAGGTTAAGGCAGTTTACTAAAGCAAAAGTGAAAGTTTGTGCCTGCACAAGTGAAGAGGAAAATAACAAGGTTTATTCTCTACTTCCCATTAGCAAGAGATGTTTGATTACTTCCTAGGAAGCAGGGCTTCAGCATGCGTAGCGGTTTCTCAGCAGGCATACATTTGTCACATGAAAGGGGAGGAGATTCACCCAACCCTTAGAGAGAGGAGATTTTCTTGGCCCTCAGTGATTTATTTGTCTGTCAGCGTCCCAAGGAAAATGAAACCCTTTATATCTGAACCAGTCTGTCAGGTATCCTGTAAGGGGGGGGGGGGAACTCTTCACCAAAAAGATTCACAGGATTAGGGGTAATTGCATTGCCCTTTTTGGGAGGCGGAACCAAAAGCATAAGGGAGACACCTCAAAGGCCTTCCGACGTGCTATTCTGCAGCCGGCAAACTGTCAGCACCTTATAAAGGACTCTAACAGTTTACAGAATAACACTCTTTATTAATACAAATTGTGACAGGTTAATAAGGTTCATAGGTTGTTGGTGATAGTGTCTAGCTCAAAAAACGTATTTAAAGCAATCTAATGATACTATAAAGCAAGCACAAGCAGAAACTCTAATATAAAACAATCTACCAATATATGGTCTTTTACAAACTTTATGATTCTATGATTTTAGTAGTTATGTCTTCAGCCAATCAGCAGGACCAAAATCCTACTTTAAGTAGGCTGGAGACAGCAAAAGAGAAACATCAGTAAAAACCACTCATCAATCATTCAGTAGGTTACTATGATTTTGTATTGGGTTTGTGTGGCAAGGTTTTGGTAGTGGGGAAGGCTATAGGGCTGGCTTCTTAGAGAAGTTGCTAGAAGCTTGCCCTATGTCCAATAGAGCCAATGACAGCTGGCTCCAGGACAGACCTGTCCTTGGCCAAGGCCTAGCCAATCAGTGATGGTGGTAACACCTCTGTGATAACATATTTAAAAAGGGGAAAAGTTATTGTGCAGGAGCAACTGCAACCAGAGAAGAGTGAGAATATATGTGAGAGGAACACAATTGAGCATTCTAATTGAATGTGCCAAATGACAGATAGACAGGGCTTTTTATTACACATACTGTTTACATATTAATTAGATATTCTTGCTTACTTAATACATATTCATTAGTTTGCTTTACATAGTCACTCCCCTATTGGAAGTCCTTCTTTGGTCCTTCCAGGTCGTCTTCATCATCTTGACCTCAGTCCTGGAGCAAGCACAGTGTCATTGTGTTTCACCACCAAAAACTGTTACGTTTGTTCTTTATTTTACCTTGTTTGTGTATATAGAGCTTAGTTTACATCCTGTTTTTTTGAGTACATCCCTTATCAAATTCTCAAGGACTTCTCTAGGATTATATTGTTCCTTATTTGGGCATTGCGGGATACTGTGAGTAAAGTTTCTATTTCTCCTATCACCTCAGGGAGAAGTTTGAAAGGGTCTGATGAGTAAACATGATAAACAGATGGATGGATGAGAATTTCTTTATCCTTTATAAAGCCAATGCCATAAATTGAGCTTAGTAATTACCTTGCATCTCTTGTGATTGATCTCTAGGCAGCAGTTGTGGTGGTATTCAACTTTGCTATGGTTTTGCTGATTTTTCCTGCTATCCTGAGTATGGACCTTTATCGTCGGGAAGACAGGAGACTGGATATATTCTGCTGTTTTACAAGGTGAGAATGTGTGATAGAATTACAGTATATGAGGTATATCTTTTTTGTGATCACCACTCAGTGCTACTGTCCCTTGTCAGGAGTGGGAGTTCATTGCAGCAGGATAGCAGCAGGGTCAGTATGCTACTGTCATGGTTTTATTGATGAATTACATTTGCTATACACACGCTTTCTCCTTTATTCATACGTACATCCATTTTAGCAATTGAAGGACACTATTCTGGAAACGTAAAAGAACCATGCTTTAGTAATATCTGTATTTTTAGAATTTAATGGGATATTACAGTGTGTCCAGTGCTGGTATTGGTAAACCTTGGAAGACTTAATTCTGGTCTCTTATGGAAGACTGTAAATAACTTGGGGTACTCAGAAACCTTATTTAATCACTCTGTGATAATTATTTTGCTTTTTATGCCTTGAAACTTAAATGCATAAAAATAATGTAAAACTTATAAAATTACTTCTCTTTAGCCCAGTTTTTCATAGGACTGTGAGGAATTCAGAATGATCAGTACCATTGCAAGATAATGATTGATAATCTTTCTGCTATGGATCCAATAGTAATTTAGAACTATAGTATGCACACTCTTACCTAATACACATCCAGCTCTGAGATCAGGGGTAGGCTAGGAGGAAGCTACTGTCATCATCAGAACCACTGTTTAAACATATTTTCTACATTAGTTTTGCCTGCAATGAAGAGGATAAGCTACATTTCTATTTGTGTACTTTCACATGCATGTCATGCCATAACCAGGATGTAGAGAAACCCCTTTGTGTCCTCTTAGCCTTCTGCACCCACGTAAGAGCTGACACAGTCTGACCTTCTTTTACTTTGATGTCAGAGAGAGAGAGTGCTTTCCTAAATTTGCTTTTGAGGGAGTCATTAGAACAGGGAGGTGATCACAAATTGGGACTCCTGCTTTCTGTTTCTGATTCAGCCGTAGTTTCACTGGATGGTCTAATGTGCTTGAATTTTGGAGCCCAGATTCTCAGAAGTACAGGACTGTCAGACCTTCCCTTTATTCCCACATATGAAGTCGGACCAAATGTAAATCAGAATTTTGGGTCCATATACATATGAAGAAATTCAGTTAATAAGAGCTTGTTTGTTTAGGTAGGCAACATTTTCTTCCTTTTTGTAGGATTTTTCCACTTGGTGAAAAATCTCTGATACTGTTTTCTATCAGCAATTTGTTTTTATTTACAGAAGGAAGCTTATTTATGACATTTTTTTGCCTGTCCTTCATGGGAATTAATCCTCGTATGTGTTTACACCACCAGTCAGTGTATGGCAAGTGGTTTCAATCTGCCTCCCGAAATTCTGAGATCTTTTTCAGAAGGTCCAAATATTATTTAACAGTTACTTTAATAGTTCTAAACAGAAGAATTCAGCATGTCATGCATTTACATTTTGATTTTCTAACTAGTTTAATTCTCAGCATGGTCATGTAGATGTAATCATATATCACTCATTCAGACTGTGCAACTACCTGGTTATTGACCTGATTAGTACATGTAATTAATAGAGTGATGTAAGTGTGTGATGGTTTGGATTTGGCTCCTTGCCAAATACTTAAAGACTCAGTAGTAGCCCCCCCCTTCCCCCTCCCTTCTTCTTTTAGGGTAAAGGAAAAAAAACTATGTAAATTGAAGAATCCGAAAATTAAGTTAGTTATATAAAAAAATATATATTTGATGTATATTACAGTTAAGATGCTATGTACACAGTAAAAAGGAATTCAAACACCTCCCGAAGGGATAGGGAAAGGGGAAAGGGGAACAAAAGGGAATAAAAAGGGACACCGAGTGGATATACGCAATCAAACCCGAGAATTAATAAAGTAACTAGTAAAACAAATTTCACTACGTCCTTTAGAAAAAAAACAGGATTGGCACACACGGTCAGCACTCTGCTATCTTCTACGTGGTAGGCCAGCGGTCACTGCAGGCCTCAGCCTTAGATAAGCGAGACTAACGCAAGGACTCACTGTTCCCGTACTCCGCCGGAAGAGAAGAGAGTGAAGACCTTTCTTCCTTTCTTATTTATACCCCGATTTACATAAAAATCGTATGGAATACTGGGAATACTACCTCTTCCTTGGTTACAAACTGGTAACCAAGGAAGGTCTAGATTAAAACCACCACAAAGTGGATGCCAGTGTCTTCAGACAAATACTGGTTCCTTCTTTCTTGGGCATAAGAAACATGTAGAAACAGGCTCAGAGGCCTATACTTTAAACCATGTCTAAGAAATATTTCCTACAAGTGATGAAGGAAATCCTCATCAAAATATTGTGCTTGACTAACATAAACATTTTACAGTAGTAGAAGCGGTCTTTGATGGAAGCAGATTATCCTATCTATCCTGATTAAAATAAATATCTATCAAAATACAAACAATGTTTTTCTCTTCTCTTGCAGTCCGTGTGCCACTAGAGTGATTCAGATTGAACCTCAAGCATATGTGGAAAACAGGGATAATACTTGCTACAGTACACCCCCATACAGCAGTCAAAGTTTTGTACATGAAACTCAGATTACAATGCAGTCTACAGTGCAGTTACACACAGAATACAATCCTCATGCACAGGTGTTCTACACCACAGCAGAGTCTTGTTCAGCAATATCTGTGCAGCCGGTGACAGTGACACAAGATAATATCAGCTGCCAGAGCCCAGAAAGCACAAACTCAACAAGAGATTTGCTTTCCCATTTCTCAGACTCCAGTATGCATTGCCTCAAGCCACCCTGTACTAAATGGACACTCTCATCTTTTTCAGAAAAGCATTATGCTCCATTCCTGCTAAAACCAAAAGCTAAGGTAAACAGAAAACTATTTACCTGTTTTTAAAAAATAGACTTCTGCCTTGGCCAGTAGGGAAATTATCCTGACAATAGTATTAAATATCAGCAAAAAATAGAATTATTTTGGAATTACAATTATTAATATTTTTATACCTAATTTCACACTTTAAAAGTTTTATCTTGGTAGTGCTATAATGACATACTTTTCAAATATAACTTCAAATCTACTTTTTAACTTCATCACCATATAAATTTCCTGTTCACTAAAACACAAATTAGTTTGGCCTTGTAGTGTGTGTGTGCGCGCATAAAGATATAAAAGCTTAAAAGTATAGTATTTGGGATTAATTATGAACCTGCTTCTGTGTGTTATTATGAGTTATTAATTTCTTTAAGAACATAAAACCAAAGGTGTTTCCATTTTCTGTTGCAGATTGTGGTTATTTTTCTTTTTCTGGGTTTACTTGGGCTCAGCCTTTATGGAACTACCCAGGCTAGAGATGGACTGAATCTCACAGATATTAGAACCACGAGAAACCCAGGATTATGATTTTATTGCAGCACAGTTCAAGTATTTCTCATTTTACAATATTTATATAGTAACACAGAAAGCAGACTATCCCAGTCCCCATGTCCAGCACTTACTTTATGAACTTCACAAAAGTTTCAGTAATGTGACATACATTTTGTTGGAAGAGGATAAGCAGCTTCCCAAAATGTGGTTGCACTACTTTCGAGACTGGCTGCAAGGTAAGAGAGAATTGCATGAACTTTTCTTTTTAATTATACAGTAGAAAGCAATTATTCACTGTAGTAATGACCTTCTTTTCCAATACAGTCACATGCTTTAAAGTATGCCCAGGTTCTGCTCTGAACTCAGACATCGATTCACTGTTTCTCTAACAGTTCATTTAAATTCTTTGTGGCTAAGTTTATTATAACCATGAGAGTTCATCTCATGTCATTAATTTCTAAGTGGTTAATGAGGAGTTCTGCTTTATAATTAATGGCCAAATATGGCCCAGTTTCTTGGGAAGATAAATGTTTGCTGAGTGTTTTGAGAATAGTAAATGAAAAGTCCTGGTCTAGCAATGTATTTTGGCACAGGCTTAACTTTCAGCATGAGTGATCCTGTTAGCTTCAGCTGGGACTGCTGACATGAAGAAAGTTCAGTGGGGCTTAGGCATTTTATTGGATTGGGAGATTACTAAACATTCTAGACTTCCAATCAAGTGTCCTCACTTTTTCTATGGTGCTACCTTTTCTGTGCTGAACTGTAACTGGGAGGGGGGTGTTATAGGTAGTATGATGATAATTATATTAAAATGGGCTTATTAAAGGCATATATTTGTGTTGAGGTAAATAATTCTTTTGTATTTAAAATATATAGTAATGTTACATCTCAGAAAATGTAACAGTTCTCTCTTGGGAGCAAACCCATCCTACCTGGAAATACTTCTGTCCTACCTCTGTCTCTGTGTTGGAAGAATCTTAAGGAAGCTTTTGCAAACAGAAAAATAAAGTGTACTGACCTACTGAGACTGTAAATTTAAAACTTAACTGTTTACAGATGGCCAATGCAGCCAATAATTCTTAGAAAACATGCACATAACTGCCAGTATTTGGAGTGCCTTCAGTTTAATGCATCTCTTTTTTCAGAGGCTCACTTGTACTTTGCTTCCTAGTATCAAATCATGTTAACATTTTCTATTATCTGAAAATGCAACAGAAGACAGTTAACATTAATCATTCATTTAAACTGGAAATGTTAACATTACTTTTGTAAGTGACTGAATGTAAATATGGTAGCTTAAGTTCCCTGATGGCTCTTAATTACGCTTGTTTTCGCAAAGGGCAATCTTCTCCACTGTTCACATGACTTAATACGAATTCCTTCCTCATTCCCATTACATCATTGAACATACTTTTGGAGGATTTTACATTAACTGCCTTAGCTTATATAATTTCTTTACAGAAAGGAGTCAACAATTTACTTTTATGTTTCTACCCAGAAACATTTCATTAATTACATTTATCTTTAAAACAGATTGAAAGGTTTTAAAAATCATTGGTGTGAACAATTTATAATAAAAATATTGTTGTTCTGCTATTAATTTCAAAGTGTTATAAGGAAGTTTTATTAGTTAAATTTTGAAATCCTTTAGAAAGTAAGCACAACTGATAGAGGTTTCTTGGTATTCTTTCTGCAGACTTTCAGTTTCATCAGTGTACAAGGCCAGTAATAAAGTGACCCAAAGTGTAAAGTGGTTAAGCCAGCTGAGAAATAAAAATATAAAAAGAGAACTGGATTTGAGCGATGGTCAAACTTGTAAGAACTGTAGCATACATTGGAGGGGGAAAAATAAGTGAAAGAGATAAGTTTCCACACACTGTAGTAATGTAAAATGTAACTTGCAACTGCAAATTGGTAATTATGCATGCAAATGCCTATATTTGGTATTGTGTCTGCTTAGCTCTGTGTCAGGAGTTTGATATTAGTCTGAAAGTTCTGCCTCCAAATATTGTCTAGCATAGCAACTTGTCTGCTCCTCTTAAGCTGTCCTTTGAAGGTCTCTTCTTTTTTTCTGAATTCTTCAACAGCCTCTTCTTAATTCCCAAAGTGATCTTTTACATGACTATTATGATAGCACAAATGCTTTCACTTAACCACTAAGAGACTGAAACAGAGCTATATTCAGAAAGGATGGATTTGTTTTTAAGCACTGCACAGAATCCAGAGTAGTTGAGATTAGAAGGGACCTCTGGAAGTCATCTGGTCCAACCCATGTTCAACCTCAAGTCAGTTTCCCAGGACTATGTTCAAGTGGTTTTTGAATATCTCCAAGGAGGGAGACTCCACAACCAGTGCTCAGTTACCCTCACATTGAAAAAGGGTTTCCTTATGTTCAGAGGGCACTCCTGTGTTTCACTTTGTGCCCATTACCTCTGCTCCTGTCACTGGGCACCACTGAAAAGAGCCTGGCTCTATGTTTTTTGCACTCCCACTTCAGGTATTTATATACATTGATGAGATATCCCCCAAGCCTTCTCTTCTCCAGGCTAAACAGTCCCAGCTTTCTCAGCCTTTCCTCATATGTGAGGTGCTCCAGTCCCTTAAACACCTTTGTGGTCCTGTGTTGGATTCTCTCCAAGTAGCTCCATATCTCTCTTGTACCGGGGGCCCAGAACTGTACAAGGCACTCCAGGTATGGCCTCACCAGGCAGAAAAGGACCTGGGAGTTTGGATTGACAGGAAGCTGAACATGAGCCAGCAGTGTGCCCAGGTGGCCAAGAAGGCCAATGGCATCCTTACCTGTACCAGGAACAGGGTAGTCAACAGGCCAAGGGAAGTGATTCTTCCCCTGTACTTAGTGTTAGTGAGGCCACACCTGGAGTACTGTGTCCAGTTCTGGGCCCCTCAGTTCAGGAAGGATGTCGAGGTGCTGGAGCAGGTCCAGAGAAGAGCAACCAGGTTGGTGAAGGGACTGGAGCACAGGCCCTATGAGGAGAGGCTGAGGGAGCTGGAGTTATTTAGCCTGGAGAAGAGAAGGCTCAGGGGAGACCTCATCACTCTCTACAACTACCTGAAAGGAGGTTGTAGCCAGGTGGGGATTGGTCTCTTTTCCCAGGCAGCTATCAGTAAGACAAGAGGGTATGGTCTTAAGCTTTGCCAGGGGAGGTTTAGGTTAGGTATTAGGAAGAAATTCTTTACAGAGAGGGTAATCAGGCATTGGAATGGGCTGCCCAGGGAGGTGGTGAATTCTCCATCCCTGGAGATTTTTAAGATGAGACTGGATGTGGCACTTAGTGCCATGGTCTAGTAACTGTGGTGGTAGTGGATCAAGGGTTGGACTTGATGATCTCAGAGGTCTTTTCCAACCTGGCTGAATCTATGATTCTATGAGTAGAGGGGAAGGATCACCTCCCTCAACCTACTGGTAATACTTTGTCTAATACAGCCCAGGATACCATTAGCCATCTTTGCAGCAAGGGCACACTGCTGGCTCATGTTCAACTTGATGTCCACCTGGACCTCTAAGGCCTTTTCTGCAAAGATGCTTTCCAGCTGGGCAGCCCCCAGAATGTACTAGTGCCTGGGGTTGTTCCTTCCCAGGGGCAGAATTTTGCACTTCTTGTTGAACTACATGAGGTTCCTGTCAGCCCATTTCTGCAGCTTGTCAAGGTCCCTCTGGATGACAGCACAACACTCTGGTGTATCAGCCACTTCTCCCACTTTTATGTCATCAGCAAACTTGTTGAGGGTACACTCTGCCTCATCATCCAGATCATTAAGATGTTGAACTGGACTGGATTCAATAATGACTCTGGGGGTACACTGCTAGTTACTGGCCTCCAACTAGACTTCATGCCACTGATCACCACCATCTGGGCCCAGCCATTTGGCTGATTTCCAACCCACTTTACTGTCTACTCATCCAGCCCGTACTTCAACAGCTTCTCTATGACAATCTTAAGGGAGACAGAGTCAAAAGTCTTTCTCAAGTCAAGATAGACAATATTTTCCCTTGTCTATTAAGCCAGTCATTTCATTGTAGAAGGTTATCAGGTTGATCAACTGTGACTTTCCCTTGGTGAAGCCATGCTGACTGCTCCCAGTTACCTTCTTGTCCTTCCTATGCCTGGAATTGTTTCCAGGATTAGCTGTTCTATCACCTTCCCAGGGATCAAGGTGAGGCTGACTAGCCTGTACTCCCCTGGGTCTTCCTTCTGGCCTTTCTTGAAGATAGAAGTGACATTTCCTTTCCTCCAGTCCTCAGATACTCCTCCCAATGTCCATGATCATTCAGTCATTATAAGAGAGGGTAGCCTCACACTCACTAAATAATATTTTCCCCACTCCTAGGATAGCAACAAACAACATTTTATTAAAGGGGACTTTGAAGTCCCTTGAACTATGGTAGAATATCTATGGTTAAATCATCCTCTTTCTGGACAGGATCTGAAGGGCTGCATTCAGCAAGTTTGGCAGGTTTATTTTTTTGCTTTGTTCTCAACCTGCTAGCTTGTCAAGTGGGTATGGTTTTGTAGGATGACCTGGGAGGCAGTTTTCTAAGGGAGGAGGGAAGAATTAATAAATGGGAATGAATACTCAGATGTCTCGGTTTAATGAGACTGAAGTGTTTTGCTAAGTAGGATGAGTTATGAGGAAGACCCAAACTCCTCCCTCTAAGCAATTGTAAATCTGAAATTAAGAGGCTCCAATTGAGGAAGTATGGAGAAAGAAAAAATAGCAGCCCTTTATTAAAGGATATATGTGTATTGGTAGAACAACAAAAGAACACAAAACCAACTAAACAATAATCCTGTACCCAAAAGTCCCCTTCAAAAAGGAAACAGTTCAATACTTTCCACCTTTTGACCCAATTCTAACCATGATCAGGAGGGGGTGCTGTTGGATTGATGGGCACAAACCACTGCCAAACACGGGAGCAGAGGAGGGAAAAGGCGACTTCCTATCTGAAAAGTTCCTCTGCAGATGGGTCAAGACTCTCTGATGAAGTCTGAGCAGGTCTGGGCTGGGGGCAGAACAGGGTGCAGGAAAGCAGCGGCAAACCAGGGCCAGAAAACAGCCATATAACCAGGCCAAAAAACAAATTGAACTTCGGACCCCTCCAACACACACCTTTCCTGAATTAAGGCAAAAATTAAGTGTCTCCAGTCTATGAGGAGAGAGAAAAAAAACTTCAGCACCCCTCTCCACAGTCTTCAGAGGGCCATCAGCTTGGAATGTGGATCTGGTGGTTAGTTCCTTTTTGTGTGCCAATTACCCTAGGCACACACCTTTCCCCTCCCTCCTTCAACATCTTTCTTTTACAGCAATGCAGGGGAAAGAAAAATTCCCTGCTTGGTCTTTTTATAACAAGTAAACCTATGACATAAGGCCCTGAAGTGGTGTCATTAAGGTTGTGTAGAAAACAACAACGCAACACCCTTATCTCCTTACAGCTGTGGCTAGCCTATCTTATCTGTAATGATGATATTCATTACAGTTCCTCAGTGCAGCTGTGAGGTGGGTTGGTGATTTCCATCACCACCCCATCCCCAACCTTTTCCTTCCCTTGTTTGAATGTGAAGTTTGTGATCTGTTCTCACAGAACCTCCTTGTACTGGGTTGTGGCTTTCTGTTCTAAATCTGACCCAAATTTGTGCTGTGAGGTATTCCTTCCCCTTTAAAGGGCGGCAAAGAGGAAAATAACAGTTGAGAGTGAATAGCTGTTAGCTGCGATCTTTACATGTGCTGGTAGCAGATACTACGACTTGTATTGGGTACACAATTTTAACAGATAGAACAAATTGAGTACTCATTCTGTGCTCAAGAAGCAGCTGAGTGTTTGTTTGAAGATGAAAGTTTGAGTGTGGTGGGCTTTTTTCCCCTTGTAGTAGAACTTCTGGTTGTATCATAGAAATTATTGTCTCAGTGCTCTGCAGTAGCTCCAGACAGTTAATGGGTGGGCTGTGTCCCCTTTTGTGGTTTAATGTGCTTTTGGTGAGGGAGGAGGGATTATGAAGACTGTATTTCTCTTCTGGTTGATGGACTAAATCTCTGCCTGATTTTAACTCCGCAGTAGCCAGTGAGGTTAAATCAGGGCTGAACTCAGCCCCTTCTGTTTTCGCACCATCTGTGTCAGGGTGACATTTCAGCTTTGTTTTGAGGAGAGTGTAAATGAAAGAGTAATTATTGTGGTTTAACCCTAGCTGGAAAATAAGCACCACACAACCTCTCATTCACACCCTCCCCCCTTGGTGGAATGGGGGAGAGAATCAGATGAGTAAAACTGAGAAAACTCATGGGTTGAGATCAAGACAGTTTAATAATTGAGTTTCGATCAGTCCATGGCAGGTGGTAAGACTGTGTTTCCACTGCTGAGACAGTCAATTACAGGTATACTGGACACCCCTCCAAGTGAAAGCAAACTGTAGCCTGCGCTCTGCCACCAAAAGGATTGAGAAAAATGCATTAGAGATATCCATTGTGGCACCATTTGGCTGCCTTTGACTCCAGCTCATATTGAAGTTCCAACACATCTGTTACGGCAGCACTCAGAGGCCATGCGACTTCATTCAGGTCATGATAGTCCACTGTCAGTCTCCATTCTCTGTTAGACTTTCACACTGGCCGTATGGGACTATTAAAGGGTGAGCGAGTCCTGCTGATCACTCCTTGGCTCTTGAGTTGAAAAATCAGCTTATGGATGAGAATCAGGGAGTGCCACCGGTGCACTGTTGTGGTAGCAATTGGCACCCATTCTTCTTCGACCCTCAGCAACCCCACAAATAGAAGGATCCTCCAAGAGACCATGCACAGTAGAGAGCTGTTTAATTTCCTCCATCTCCAAGGCAGCTATACAGAAAGCCCACTGGTACCCTTTGAAGTCCTTGAAATACCCTCTCCTGAGATAGTCTATGCCAGGAATGCACAGAGCCTCTGGGCCAGTCACAACGGGGTGCTTTTACCACTCATTTCCAGTCAGGTTTACTTCAACCTCCAATACAGTCAGCTGTTGGGATCCCCTGTCACTCCAGAAGTACAAATGGGTTCTGCCCCTGTATAGCTTGATGGCATTAGGGTACACTGTGCACCAGTATCTACTAGAGCCTTGTACTCCTTTGGGTCTGACGTGCCAGGCCATGGGATTCACCCTATGCAGTAAATCCAGTTGTCTCTGTCCTCCACCTGGCTCGAGGCAGGGCCCCTCTAGTCCTGGTCATAGGCTTCTCCATTTACTTCTTGTAGAAATGGATTAGAATTCCTTTCCATAGGATAAGTAAGATTAGTCCTTCCACTCTGCCTGGGGAACTGTCCAATGGAGACTTGAGCAACAACTTTCCTGGAAGAACCCTCATTTGTGGTTGTTTTTCCTTGCAATTCGCATACTTGTGCATCTAGGATTGAGGTAGGTTTTCCATCTCACTTCCTCATGTCCTCTCTATGGTCCTGCAGGTAAAGACCACAGGGTATCCTAAGGGGCATACCCAGTATATCCTCCCTCTTATGCAAAAGGACACTTACTGTTAATAGCTGAGATGCAGGTCTGTACAGGTGGGGAGTAGAACATATTCTCTTTGAATTTCTGGAACTCCTGGGACAGTTTCTCCACAGATGAGGCAACAGAGGAAGAGTGATTTTTTTTTTTATATTCCCGAAGTTGGTGAACCACTTCATCCCCTGCCAGTGCCTCTTCATCTCTCCAGGTCATTACTGCCAGTGGGTTGGCATATGACAATGGTGTGTTCTGTACAAATTTCTGTCACATGGGTTGTGTGCATTGGACTTTGTCTGGATCTGTGGATGACTGCACATTGTTTGGGTCAAAATAAATCATCTCAAGCATGACTAATTCCCCCAGATCCTGGATACCTTTCTCTACTCCAGTCCATTGGCCTGGGCAACATATATCTTCCTTGAAGGGATACCTTCCCTTCACACCTGACAGGAGTGACCTCCAGAGGTCAAGGACTTGTGTCCCTTTTCCAATCACCTTCCATAGAAAGTGATCCCAGCTTCTTGGTTTCTTTACCCTCTAATTCCAAACTGCCAGCCTCGTTGTCCCCACATTGGAGCAGCCAGGTGACAACATGCTCAACTGGACAACATCTGAAATCTTTTTGCATATCCTGCAGCTCAATCAGGGATAGGGATTGAGTGGTTACCTCTTGTTCTGCCTCTTCCACTTGTTCTTATGATTGCTTTGTCCTCCTTTACTAAACGAGATGTCTTTCGTGTCCGTTTCTTCTTGTGTACAGGGGCAAGTGATACCAACACAGGTTGATTCTCTGGTTCAGCTGCATCATCCATCACCAGGATCTGAGTAACTGTAGTGCTTGTCGCAGGGTTCCAAGTAGCTGCAATGCCTGTCATGGGGATTGGCATAGCCACAGATAGTTGCTTAACCCTAAACAAGATCTGAAGCACATTCAGCATTCCTAGCAATCGGACCAGGTCCAGAAATAGGCTAATTTCAACAACCCAGAAATATTAAAAATTTTCAAAATTCTCAGACAGTTCTGTAATTAGCCTGGAGAAGGGGAAGATGTAAGAAAATGTCTCCCCCATAGGTCAGTTCTCTGAGGAGAAAAGGCAAAAGGTGTAATTATTAATAGTTCACAACAGATGACTCCTGAAGTACAGAGGTGATGGCAATGCTGAGTGAACATACCAGCAATTCTATCATATCACAAGCCAGTATTACAAAGTACAACAAACCAAGAAACTTAGCCCAGGCCCCAGAGATGACAAATACCAAAACAGCAAACACATGCTCCAAGTAAGTAGGTACATAATATAACTCTGAGAACAAGCACAACAACTCTTTGAGAAAATAAATCAACATCGTGACCAGTGACTATTAAGCCAATACAATGAATGCTTATAACAAATTTGTTTTAATATGCTCTGGTCAAATCTGTCATTATCTCAACCCTTCATGCCCCACATTAGGCACCAAAAAGCACTGTCGACTCTACTCGGCAACTAAGTACCACACATATGATCGTTCACTCCCTCCCACTTTCCTGGGAGGAGAATTGGAAAAAAGTTAAAACTTGTGGGTTGAGATAAGAACAGATTAATAATTGGAACAAGGTAAAAACCAATAATAATAGTCATGAATGTAATGAAAAGGAGAAAGGGAGAGGAAAAACCCCAAGGAAAACAAGTGATGCACAATAAAGTTGTTCACCACCCACTGACTGATGCCCAGCAAACCCACCTTCTGGGTAACTCCCCTCAGTTTATATACTGAGAATGACATTCTGTAGTACGGAATATCCCTTTGGCCAGTTTGGGTCAGCTGTCCCAGTTATGGTCCCTCCCTGCTTCTTGTGCACCTCCCACTGGCAGAGCATGAGACACTGAAAAGTCCTTGATTTAGAGTAAGCACTGCTGAGCAACATCCAAAACATCAGTGTGTTATCAACATTATTTTTAGACTGAATCCAAAGCACAGCACTGTACCAGTTACTAGGAAGAAAATTACCTCTATTCCAGCTTAAACCAGAACACTGCTTCAGCTATAAATAGTCATACTTTATATTAAAAAAAAAAAATATTGTTTCTTCGTACTGAAATTTGTTTCAAAGATTGATTTCTAATTTGCTTGTTCTATCTTCCTCCCACCTTCCTGAACTCTTTAGGACTTCAGCATGCATTTGACAGTGACTGGGAAGCTGGGAAAATCACTTATAACAATTATAGAAATGGATCTGACAATGCTGTTCTGGCTTACAAACTCTTGGTGCAAACAGGCAACCGAGCAAAGCCCATTGACGTCAGCCAGGTACTGTATCAGAGTCCATGGTGGTTTATACAGGAATGCACAATCCTGTCAGGAGTTGGGGGAGATGCAAGGAAAATGCCATAGCTCCTTTTTTCATCTTGATGAATTGAAATTTTTGAGTTGTACCTACCTGTGTAGCCTCGCTGACTTTGCTTGAGCTACATGTTAGCTACAGAGTCTGGCCTGTGTTGAGAAGTATTTAAAATCAATACCAGGAATGCCTGTCCTTGGTGATTATTGGCTGGCATACGTTAAATGCTGTTCCTGTCTCATACACACACACACACACACACACACACACACACACGCAGTTTCCTCTGCGTTTGGTGTGGAAAATGCTACTCTTCATCCTTAGGTAGGTAGAGACTGGTCCTATGCCAGACATACAGCCAATGTTAGCCTTGTTGCTCCAAGTGGCATTGTTCTTGATTTGAATCAAATTTGTTTATAGGGATGACCTTTGTTCAGCCTTCTGCTGTGGCTTTGAATCTAAAATTTGCAATTATTTGGTTAGTTCCTACCAATTTATTAAAAACACACATTTTAAAGAAAGATGTTTACGAATGATAGGGAATGGAAGGGGACTGAAATAACTATGTTGTACTTTATTATTGTATTGTCATTACTAAATATAGATATACTGTAGTAGAACTGAGAATGGCAGTTGGTTGAGCAGCCTAAATAAAATACATCTGAGCTTCTTTCACAAGGTTATCACAGCATATGACTGCTTTTGCTGCTTTTTAGTATCGCATAGGTAAGTGAAATATGCTGGGTTTGACTCCTTATGCCAAAATTTTATTTTAATCCTCTTAAGAAAAAATTGTGCAGGAACCTAACTTCTCCTCTCCTAGAATCATCATTGACTCTCTGTGCTTTCAGGCAGAAAATAGTCTCTATAGTGAGTTTCTCAGCAGATCTGCTTATTTTCATTTTTTGCTGACATTAAAGGTGACAGATTTACGGATTACACTATTCAGTTACCATGGTGTGTAAAACACATTGCTAAATGGCAGCATGCAGCATGCTGTAAGGTTTGAATGATGCTTCAGCTATGAATTTAGCAAAGATTGGGAACCAAAGGGAAAACCTTTAATGAGATTCTGTTTACCAGTGTGTACCACATACACTGCTGATACAATTTCCTGTGCCTGGGAGGGAGAAAAGTGTGGTGCATCCACAAGGGCTGAGTATTGTACTATGCAATTCCAAAGACAGTTTGAAGACATACAGTTGTTGCATATCCTGTGGCTTAATTGAATTGGGGGAGGGGGAAGGTTGACTTTTTTTTTAACTGTCATCACTGCTGTTCTTCATTTCATTAAAAGGACCTGAAGCTGGAGCCAAGCCAGAATTTGAAATAAACAAAGCAAACAAAGAAACCCCACAGTAAAACTTTGAATTCAGAGTCCTCTGTCAGAGCTCTAGCTGTGCAGTATTTGGCTGAAGAACCCTAGAAGCATACCACTGCTTTTTACCCACAGATACATTTGCCAACAGTGACCCAAATAACACATTGCACTTGTCTGGTTTTTTGGGCACTGGACATTTTCTGAAACGAATAGATCATGGGAGACAAGTGTTAGAAAAGTTTATACAGATTTTTTTTGGTTTTATAGCTTTCTATTTACTGTGTGGTATTTTTTTCAATATTAACAACAGAGGTTAACCGCACACAGGCATGTATAGGGACTCTTGCCAAGTTTTTTTCCCCTTGCTTTAAAATACATTTTTCCAGTTCTGTTGGTTTTCACCCTCAGTTAAAGACAGCTTTTTGGAATTCAGATTTAATTGGTTCAATTTGTTCTAGAACCATCTGCTGATTTAGTGGGTATTATAAAAATTCTATAAATATTAATTTATAAATAACTACTTTCCACTGTTGCTGTAGCTATTTAGATTTTTCTTCATTCTCAAACAATAGTTTGAATGGTAAGTCACTTCAAGTGAAAGTTAATGCTGTTTTCCTTTCTCCTCTCCTATATGTGTGTGTCACATCTCTAGGCTTTTTGTCATAAGCTTTGCAGCAAGAGCCCTGAAAGTGAAACTCATTCTGAATGGCTTCTAATCTTTCCATTTTGCAGTTGACTAAACAACGCTTGGTGGATGCAGATGGAATCATTAACCCAAATGCTTTTTACATCTATCTGACAGCCTGGGTTAGCAATGACCCTGTGGCCTATGCTGCCTCACAAGCCAACATCCGGCCTCCCCACCCAGAATGGGTCCATGACAAAGCAGACTATATGCCAGAAACAAGGCTGAGAAGTAAGTAACATTTCATCCTAATGTCTTATTGTTTATATAGGTGGTCTCACTCCTTCCTTCAAGACCTAGTAACTCTATAGTTGGGTGATGCTGTATAGAACTCAGAAGCATAAACAGAACAATATATTGGATTACTCTGTAGCCTCAGGAGACAAACGCAGTTGTGGAATCCAGTGTAATGTGGCACAACTGAAGGGGTTTATCATGTTGAAAAATGAGTTTTATAACAGTTCCTATCAAAGCTCTAAAAACTTATAATAAACACTGCTTTTTAATGTTACCTGATAGCTCTGTATGCGAGAGAAACCTGGAGATTGCATGAAATTCCTGAATGTCATCAAAGAGATTACATCATGTTTATCCTTATTTTTTAGTATGGGAGGAAATTTCATCAAGATAGCTCATATGTATAAGATACCAACACCAATATGGTACAAGAGCTATTTTGGGGAGAAGTCTGTGTGAGTGGGTGGTCTCCTTTTGTCCCTCCCACTCTATGCTGTTCACTCTTTTGCATCCTGAGCAGTAATGCTGGTTTGCCTTGCTGCACTTCAGCAATTCATTGGGAGGATTGCTAGTTGGACACCAGTGGCGAATGGGGGAGGACATGTGGGGGATGACTGGTGCTCTTGAAAATGTGATTGGGTAACAAGCTAGATGTGCTTTAATATATCCAAACCCTGGGGCAGGTATTCAGTAAAAAGCTGGTGAAGATTGCATACATATATTGAAATCTGTAGTTGTTAAATTATATAGAATTGTTTGGGGACTTGATAAAGGCTGTGTTCATCATAAACATAGTCATTTCTGGTATTTAGAGTTTTTAAAGTGTCAGTTGTTCCAATGTTGCCTAAATGGGATACAAAGGCTTTAATGAGCCCCCAGGCTTTCCGGAATACCCCCAACGCGTGCTCCCGAATACAGGTGTTCACAGTTTTTATAATGATTTTCGCCCAATCCCCGTCCAGCCACCACCCAGGTTCTGCCCCCGCCACGCCTCTTGGGAATTGGGTCTGGGGGCGTTTTGGGACCCCCTCTTCTTCATCTTCATCTTCCTCAGAGCACATAATGTTCTTGGAGGCCTTCCAGAGTCCTAGGCCTGAAGGTTGTTGCGTCTATGGCTATATCTTCTTGCTCAGGATTAGGGTGTTCTCTACAATTCTACCTTGAAAATGAGACTAAACAGGCCAGTGGAATTTAGGGGATTGATATGGGAACAGGTAACAGGGTTTGCTATGTGTGGTTGGTGTGTTAAAGGGTAAAGGGATAATATGCTGCTACTCTAAAATCTACATTTACTACATAACTACTTCTAAGATCTACAAAAATTAAAAAATCAAAACTCCAAGGTATCACAAAGATGTAAAATTTTAATTCAACACCTTTAAGCATTCTGCTGTAGAGAGCGTCTTGTTAACCATGCTATGTATCTCCTTCCCAAACATGTTAAAACATTTCTATCCTTTTCCTAGTTCCAGCAGCTGAGCCCATAGAATATGCTCAATTTCCTTTCTACCTCAATGGATTGCGTGAAACTTCTGACTTTGTGGAAGCTATCAAGAACGTGAGAGCTATCTGCAATAACTATGCTGGCCTGGGGATTGCCAGCTACCCAAATGGCTATCCATTTCTATTTTGGGAGCAATATATTGGACTTCGTCACTGGCTCCTCTTATCCATTACTGTGGTTTTGGCTTGCACATTTCTGGTGTGTGCCCTCTTCCTCCTGAACCCTTGGACATCTGGCATCATTGTAAGTTTATTATAAGGGTCTTTGTTGAAGTCAAATTCCTTTCAACATAGCTCTTGCTATAATCAGGAAGGTTTTGTTTATGTCTGGGCCTCTAATGGAGTATGTATATTGCATCATTCATTATATATTTATTCAACTTGAGGGAGTAGAGTTCATGCTAAAGATACAAACCTTCAAAACCTTTGTCCACCGTAATAACCTTTGTCCTTTGTCCACCGTTTTGCATCTTTAAAGGTTTTGTTATTAGGATACATGAATTTTTACCCTTGTTCAGATGCCCATTAACATGAGAAATAAGACATAGAGGAAAATTAGGAATGTTATTAAAGTTATTTCTATTTAGTTTTTCCTTCCTCCTTTTTATCAGAAAATGTTATTTTTTCAAGGCAGTTGCTTGTGACTAACTTGCCTGTAAATTTGCCCACTGGTTTCCAAATTCAGTCTTTCTGGAAAGACTGAAATGGTTAGGTTTTACAGTACACACTGAGAAAAGAGTGTGACTGGGCTATTAAGGAAAAAGTTACAAAATTATAAGTTGAAGAGAATACTCCTCCATGCTTTCTGCAAGGTACTGTAAGCCTCATAGTAAACATTCAAGTTAATTTGGATTATGATGTTCCTATGTTTAAATTCCATAAACTGTTGTATGGTTTATGTGTATGGTTTTATAAATGTTGTGTGGTTTAGAAAAGTGTAAAACAGTTACTAGTTTTTGTATTATACATTTATATGGCAAGTATGTTAAAAGGTAAATGTTTAGTGTAGAATATTTTTCATAGCACCGAATCAAGCAATTTACGTTACCTTTTTAATTCATTAGCTTATAAAATAACTTATTATAGTGCATATGTTTATCCCTTGGAAAGGTGGTTTATTTTCAGAGTCTGCTATTGCTTTTATAAGTTTGTCTCTTTTTCCTGCTTGGCTTTAGAAACTTTGAAGTCAATTCCATGGATTTCCTCCCCTCCCTTATTATTTTTTACAGGGTAGATGAAAAAAAAATAAAAGCTTTCCCTTAGATTTAACTATTTGCATTGTCCATATTAATCCCTTCAAATATCTTTAAAGCTCAAAGGCTCTCTGTAACCTGAGACTCATCAGCTAATTATGACGTTCACCTTCTTCTGGGCTTTAAACCTATTCTGGAGTTATCCTCACTTACATTTGGAGTACTACAAAAAGAATTCCAATGCAGTTACTTGAAAGTTCGTTTTTCTAGAAGGATTTTCAGAGAAAGAGGTGAAAAGGAGAAAATTTATGTTCCAGTGAGTATCCATGAGGAGGAAGAAAAAAATTACTTTTCAAATCCCATTGATAAATTGTTACCAATAGAAAAGTGATGCTTGATCTCTTAACTGGTTCTTGGGATAATAATTTTAACTGACTCTTTAGAGGGTCATTGCTATTGAGCACAATGAAACAAGGAAAAATGGCTTGTCTTTGGGGATAAGAGAAGGACTGATATGAGCGATATATTTTATAGTCCCCGTGTTGTTTTGTAATATCCTTCTTCTTCATTTGTCTAGAGTATGAGAAGTTACTAATGGCTGTTTGAAATCATTTAGGTGGTGGTGCTGGCTCTGATGACTGTGGAGCTGTTTGGCATGATGGGTCTAATTGGAATAAAGCTGAGCGCAGTGCCTGTGGTTATCCTGGTTGCTTCTGTTGGCATTGGTGTGGAATTCACTGTTCATATTGCTTTGGTATGTAAAACTAGAAAGCATTTTCAAAGTATTTTAAAATAAAATGTTATGATTCCAAATCCTTACTTAAACTCCTAAGTCAGTGACATGATTTTCAGAAGAGTATCGATCATAAACCTTGCACAAAGTTTTGTGTGCCATTTGGATTGTCATGGTAGAATACATCTTGTCTAAAGAAATTGTTCCTAACTATTGAGTCAGTCTCCTAGAAGATAAGAGGGAACACATAATAGTATTTTAATATTCATAATGCTTTTTGAAGACTGTGATTAAGATCATGGGTAAATGTGGTATCTGGTTGTGTGAGACATTCAAATACATAGACAAAGCAGAGCTCTTAATAGACATTATTTTAGGCCACACTCACTCATCATGTGCAGCCTCGCTGTTGTTGACACAGTCCTATGTAGTTTTCTATGCCCTTTTGTGTGTAGATTCTGTATCTTGTGGTAACGAAACCTTCAAAGGGAGATATTCAAAATTATATAATGTCATTTAATCTCTCTGGAACAGTAAAATTTGAATGATTTGAATTCTTCATGGGAAAAATCACCTTCTTTTCAAAACCCATAGCTATTAATATTGGGCTCAAATGTGCAATCTGTAGGGAAAGAGTTGTCCTATGTAATAAAGAGAAGCAGAGAGGAAAAAATGTTTGAATGTTTTATATAAACATTTTCAACAGTTTCAAAGTTAGGTGTTCAAATCTAGAGTGCACCTAATTAATGACGGAATGAATCGTGAATTCCTGGCTTAGTGAACAGAAATCACTTTATTTCCTATGATCCAGAGTTTTTATATCATTCACTTCCCACTGGGAGTGGTTAGGCAAATCAAGGCAGAACACAGCTGCAAGCCACACATCAGTCACTCTCACAGGCTGGCCTGTCACACACACCACCCCCCCCCCACACACACACACCTTGGAGTTTCAAGTTACCCTTTTTACACCCCCACATGGTGAAATTGCAAACTGGAGAACTCTCAGCTCTCCCTGGTCAGTAAATCAGAGCTTAGAGAAAACAACACAAAGTCCTCTGAACATTCCTCAGGTCTTTCTCACGCTGGCTGCTACACCTAATCATCCAACTTGGTCAACCTGATGTACAGAAATGAAGAAAAATGACAGGTTTTTTTTTTCAAGGGAGCAGTTGTGGATGCTTGTTATGCAAAACTCATCCTGCTTTATTTGGTGACCAAGACTGGATGGAGTAAAGGGCTCTTTTTCTGTGTTCATATTTAACAATGGAAGTGGTGATCTATGCAATGTTAAGGATAAATTTAGACAAAGGCCTGATTTCTATTTTCTGCCAATTAAACAATTTTGATACTAAGTTGGAGTTATTAGATATTTTCTTAGAAATTAGGGAATTTCAGAATTTAAGTATTTATATATTACAAATTAAAACCTACCCATGTTTTAAAACATTTTCCGTTTACCTGTTCTTAGTAGTGTTATATCTCAGAACTCTCAACATTGCATATGGAAAGGTCTCTTCACAGGATAAATCAATTTCCTATAAGACTATTCTAATCCATTTTTCAGAAGAATGTTATTTTAAGAATATCGTTGTCTTCATGAATTTGAATCTTATTGTACTAAAAAGTAAGAATGAGTCTGGTCAATATAATATAATCTCAATAAAAGGGTGTTTGGAGCCTACTATAATCTCTAGTATATTAGTATCATAACAATCAAAAAAGAAATGAAAGGAGGGGGCTGGAAAATGGGGTGAGAGATGGAGAGATATTGGATGGGGCTTTAATAGAACTTTTAGACTCAACAGGAGGATGGGTAGACTATTGAGAGGATCTGGTGGCAGTGAAAAGGACCTGAGAATTAAAGGGGATCCTAGCACACTGGTGATGGCCAAATATTTGGAACACAGCAGGGGAGGGACCTGAACGCACCCCAGTGCTGAGTGGGACTTGAACCCACTACAGTATTTCCACCAAATCCGCTCAGGGAGTTTTAACACTTACCCTTTAATGCCTCCCACTCGAAAGATGCCAGGTGAAATCACCTGCTGCTGGCAGTTGGATGTTTGAAGACAAGAGGATCCAGCAGTGGTGGCTTAGGGTCCCATCTGGGTCTCCAAACTGTTAATACTTCTCTACCCTAGGTATCCCGTAACGGTCTCAGGCTTTAAATTCTGAAAGGCAATTTATTTGAGTGATACAGTGGTAGAAACAGTTTGAGCTGGGTGCCTCCACAGACGGACCCTAAACAAAGAAATACCTGGGAAATGATACCCTTACAATCTACATTTCTCAGCCCTCACATCATAGTTTTGTCAAATAATAATATTTAGGTCTGGGGTCTTCTTGTTCTTCATTGGTTCTCTTAGTTGTCTCTAGACAGGCCATTTCTTCTCTTATCTGTGACGATGCAGCTTCTGCTGATGGGGGTAGTGACCTTCCTTGCTTCCTTATCTTTCATTGTGAACTGGCTCTTCGGCCTCCTTTTACTAAACTAGGTAAAAGTTCAGAGTATCTAGGCTTGCAGCCTGAGGCTTCAGCAAATGTAGCTACTAATGCTAAACAAGTTATGCTAAAAAAAACCTTTAGAGATCATCAAGTCCAAATCCTCTGCCATGGGCAGATTATGTTGCTAAAAGCCCGTTCCAACCTGACCTTGAAAACTTCTGATGATGGGGCATCCACAACTTCTCTGAGCAACCTTTTCCAGTGTCTCACCACCCTCACTGTAAAGGATTTTTCCTTATATACAATCCAGATCTGCCCTCTTTCAGCTTAAAATGGTTGCCCCTTGTCCTGTCACTGCAGACCTTGGTAAAATGTCTCTCTCCATCTTTCTTATAAGCCCCCTTTATATATTGAAAGGCCACAATAAGGAGGCCCTGGAGCCTTCTGTTTTCCATGCTGAACAACCCCAACTCTCTCAGCCTGTCTTCATTTGAGAGGTGTTCCAAACCTCTGACCATGTTTGTGGTCCTCTTCTGGACCCACTCTAACAGGTCCATGAGTTTCTTGTGCTGAGGACCCCAGAGCTGGATGCAGTACTCCAGGTGGGGTCTCATGAGAACAGAGTAGAGGGGCAGAATCACCTCCCTTGACCTGCTGGCCATGCTGCTTCTCGAGGTCTGATCCGGCCCCTGCCCCTCCTGACAGTGTCTGCCCGCATTCTCCACAAAAAATGTCGTGGGTTTGCTCTGGGCCAATTTTCTCTCACCCCCCACACAATTGCTATAAGTTGAGAGAAGGTTTATGCAGACAAAAGAGATCTGATTGGGGAGAATAATATTAGGATTTATTACTAGTAAGATAAAAACTAAAGAACTATATATATACACAACAATTCTAACTAGGCAAAAGTACTATGTATTTACAGAAATGCCCCTCCGCCCTTGTATCAGTTCAGGAGGAGAAGAAGTCTCTTTTCCATTTACGGAGCTACAGGTCTTTTAACTAATTTTGCAGCACTCGAAAGTTGTTCTTCTATTATTTCTAAGACGACAACTCCAATTTGTCGCAGATGGAACTGTTTCTCTTTCTCTCTCTCTTCTATGTCGACCTCAGGGCTGGGCCTACCCCCTCCTGGGCTAAGACCAGAGACTGGGGGGTTACCCAGGCCCTGTGGTGTTTTCCATGGACTGCAAGGGGACACTTGTCTACCATGGATCTTCACCACAGGATCACAAGGGATAATGGCTTTTGAGTCCACCCCTGTTTCCTGTGGGGTCCCTTCTCACGAGAGACAGTCTTTGATGGACCTCTAACGTGAGTCTACTTTCGGACAACAGTTTTTCCATTCTCTGCTGTCCCTTAGGGTCACAAATTCAGCTGCACCAGCATGGATCCCTCACTGGGATCACCAGATCCTACCTGAGCTGACTTGCTCCAGCGTAGGTCTCTCTCTTCATGGGTCACAGGTCTCTGGCAGGACTCTGTTTCATCTTCGGTCTCCCATGGAGTCATATCTTCTTCATGCACTCCTCTGCTTCGGCGTGGGCTCCTTCATGAGCTGCAGAGGGGGGGTTCCTGTCCTGTCCAGGCTGTCCTTCTCTAAAGTTGGGTTTTTTTTTCCTCTACTCTGTTACAGGAGAGAAGGGGGGCCTGGCCCCCCTCGCCCGGGACAGAGTTGGCCCGGGGTGGGGGGGCGCACGTCCGGGCCCAACAGGGCCGGCTGCTACACTGGCTCTTCCATTTTCTTCTGTGCCCTAACCTTTCTCTTCCGTTTTCTTAAGTATATAATTGGCAGAGGCGTTACTAAAACTTTTGATTGGCTTTGGTCCGGAGATTCACCTGGAAAAAACTATTTTCAGCCCCAGGGGGGATGCTGGGTTGGTAAACCCATGACACTGCTTTTGATGCAGCCCAGGATATGATTGGCTTTCTGGACTGCAAGTGCACAATGCCAGTTCATATCTAATTTTTCATCTACCACCATCCCTAAGTCCTTCTCTACAGATCTGCTGTCAATCCATTCATCCATCAGTCTGTATCAATACTGGGGATTGCCCTGACCCAGGTGAAGAACCTTGCATTAATATTTAGAGGGTTTGTACAATTTCTTTTCAAGGTTTAAATGAGAACCACTCTAGATCACAAATGATAACTAAAACATAGTCCAGAAGTCTATGAATATTCACACTCTTTTTTTCTCTTAATGGGAAAAACACCTCTGTCTGCTTGGGGTCAGTCTGCGGACTGTGTCTCTCCTCCTCTCCTGAAGGGACACATTTAGGTGAGCTTTGCACTTCCAACTGCGTTTGAGCAGACCCGGGAATATTCATTTTTGTATACATATATTTATAGTGCTAATAGATCTCTGTGACCATACTTTCTGTCGTGACACATATTAACATTTATTACTGGCAATCCTGAACCTGCTTTCCTGTTGCTTCAATAAACCATACTATGCGTGAACCTGGATTGTGCAGGTCTTTAATGAATGCGATCAGACCTATAGTACTGGATTGGTAAATTGCATTATCAGTGCATCTGTGCTCGTGCAAGTTCTTTCAAACTCAACCAGA